CCTGCTCCTCCTCCTCCTCCTCCTCCCGCAGAGGCGTCCCGGGAGCGGGCCCCGAGTCAAAATACCACCCCCCTACGGCGCATTTTCCTCGAGCGGGCACGCCCGAGATGCACTTCTTCCTTTTCCGGGAGCACATCCCAAGTCAGAATATCACACTCCCGGGACGCACTTTCTTCGAGCGGGCACACAAAGGATGCATTTCCTTCTCCTTCTCCTCCTCCTCCTCCTCCTCCTCCTCCTCCTCCTCCTCCTCCTCCTCCTCCTCCCTCCTCCTCTCCTCCCCTCGTCCTCCTCCTTTTCCTCCTCCTCCTCCTCCTCCTCCTCCTCCTCCTCCTCCTGCTCCTCCTCCTGCTCCTTCTCCTTTTCCTCCTCCTCCTCATCCTCTGCTTCCCACCCCCGCTCCTAGCCCTTTCGATCAGGGTCGGCGGCACCGGCCGTCAGCCCTCCCCAATCTTTAGAAAACATTTGGTTTTCTTAAGATTTCGCACGAGCTCGCGCGGAAGCTTTTTTAGCAAATCAGTGTTGCGAAACCTTGTGCTTTTCCCAACCCTCCTGCGTTGGGTTCTCGTTTTGAATAGAGCACTGCTTGCGCCTTCCCGCCCCCCTCTTCCCACCTGCCTTTTGCCTCGCTCGTCGCAATCCCTGGGGGGCTGCGATCGGCGAAACTGTCGCCACTTTCGAAGCCTGCTGGGGGGCCCAGCACAGTGTGCACTCGCGGCGGATTCAAATGGGACCTCGCCATCCATGGGGGGCTGCGATCTGTGAAACTGTCGCCACTTTCCAGGGCTGCTGGGGGGGCCCAGCGCAGTGCGCACTCGCGGCGGATTCAAATGGGACCTCGCCATCCCTGGGGTGCTGCGATCTGTGAAACTGTCGCCAGTTTCGAGGCCTGCTGGGGGGCCAGCACAGTGTGCACTCGCGGCGGATTCAAATGGAACCTCGCCATCCCTGGGGTGCTGCGATCTGTGAAACTGTCGCCACTTTCGAGGGCTGCTGGGGGGCCCAGCACAGTGTGCACTCGCGGCGGATTCAAAAGGGACCTCGCCATCCCTGGGGGGCTGCGATATGTGAAACTGTCGCCAGTTTCGAGGCCTGCTGGGGGGCCTAGCACAGTGTGCACTCGCGGCGAATTCAAATGGGACCTCGCCATCCATGGGGGGCTGCGATCTGTGAAACTGTCGCCACTTTCCAGGGCTGCTGGGGGGCCCAGCACAGTGTGCACTCGCGGCGGATTCAAAAGGGACCTCGCCATCCCTGGGGGGCTGCGATCTGTGAAACTGTCGCCACTTTCCACGGCTGCTGGGGGCCCAGCACAGTGGGTACCCACGGCGGATTCAAATGGGACCTCGCCATCCCTGGGGGGCTGCGATCTGTGAAACTGTCGCCACTTTCGAGGGCTGCTGGGGGGCCCAGCACAGTGGGTACCCACGGCGGATCACATGGGACCTCGCCATCCCTGGGGGGCTGCGATCTGTGAAACTGTCGCCATTTTCGAGGCCTGCCGGGGGCCCACCACAGTGGGTACCCACGGCGGATTCAAATGGGACCTCGCCATCCCTGGGGTGCTGCGATCTGTGAAACTGTCGCCACTTTCGAGGGCTGCTGGGGGGCCCAGCACAGTGGGTACTCACGGCGGATTCACATGGGACCTCGCCATCCCTGGGGGGCTGCGATCTGTGAAACTGTCGCCAATTTCGAGGCCTGCTGGGGGGCCCAGCACAGTGGGTTTCCCGCACGTCTTTCTCCTGCTTTTCTTTCCCGACTCCACATGTCCTCTTCGAGCCTGTAGTTGTCGCCCCTCGTTCTTGTATGGTACTCCTGCGCATCATTCCATTGGCGCGTGTCCCAAGTAGCTTACATATCAAACAACGGATCCTGCAATTTGATTGTCCGTGCAAGTTTCGGCCAACTCCTCGCTTCCCATGATACAAATGGGTCGGGTACGTCACAGGGTATTTGTATGTTTTTTTGGGAACTCGATTGCGAAATCCTTCCGACGCCGAAGGTTTTTGAAGGATTTCGGCATGCGCGCGCGACGACGCGCGCGTGCGCACTTCGTCCCATTTTTTGCAAGGGATTAGCGAAAAAGTGCTACGATAGGAAAACAAGTCACCGCATTGTGTTTTTTGCACAAGGGATCCTCAGGGGGGGAAACCGGCCCCCTGGGATAGTGTAAACTCATATTCAGGATGGACCTGTGGTCAGAATCATAAATGATTTACATACCCGAAAGGGGCAGTGATAATGCCGGGGGGGGAAGAATAATGCCGGGGGGGATAATCCCGAAACAGAATAGGATCTAAGATCCTATTCTGTTTTTAAAAAGGAGAATCAAGGGCGGCGACGAGGCGGCGACAAATCGGCGGCGGCGGCCACATAGCCGCCAGACTGAAGATACGGCCCAAAGGACGGGCGGTGACTAGACGGCGACGGGGAGGCGACGGCGGCCACATAGCCGCCAGACCAAAGACACGGCCCAGACGAGGGGCGGCGAATAACGGCGACGGGGCGGCGGCGGCGGCGGCCAAATAGCCGCCAGACCGAAGACCGGCCCAGACGACGGGCGGCGACGAGGCGGCGACAGGGCGGCGACGGCGGCCAAATGGCCGCCAGACCGAAGACCGGCCCAGACGACGGGCGTCGACGAGGCGGCGGCGACGGCGGCCAAATGGCTGCCAGACTGAAGACACGGCCCAGGCGAGGGCCGGCGAATAACGGCGACGGGGCGGCAGCGGCGGCGGCCAAATAGCCGTCAGACCGAAGACCGGCCCAGACGACGGGCGGCAACGAGGCGGCGACGGGGCGGCGACGGCGGCCACACAGCTGCCAGACTGAAGACACGGCCCAGTTCCTCAGACCAGAAGTAAGAACCACTAAGCGCAAGCACTGTTTGGGGAAGAACTTTCGAAGGTCCGCGCGAACTTCCCGGATCGGCGCTGGCGCTCCTGGCGGCGCCTGCGGCACCGCCCCTGGCACGCTCCACGCGCCAGGAAGCGGGGGTGCGCCGATCCAAGAAATCAGCGCGGACCTCCTACCGCTTATGTTTGTGACATTGTTTGTTCCCCGATGATGGTGTACACGCCCACGGGATCACGTGCGTCAAGAAGGTTCCTCACGGCAATCGCCCGCCGCTACCAACTCGGGAGCTGCACGAGATCTCTTGGCTTGTTCCTCCGCTCGGCAAGTGCCACTCCGAAAGGCTCGGTCGCAAGCCACCCAGCACCAGACGGTTCCCCCAGCTAGTGTGCCGCACCGGAACTTGCCTAAAAGAAGAAACAGCTGCATAAACATAGAAACTATCGGAGGTCCCTGCGGATCTCTCGGATCGGCGCTGGAGCCCCCTCCCTGGGGTTCGGAGGGCGCGAGGAGCAGCGCCTCAGGCGCCGCCATGCAGGCGTCAACATCAGAGACATCAGCGCGGACCTGTGACAGCTTATGCTTAAGCCGATCCTTCCTCCCTCGAGCACCGCTGTGGGGCTGCGTGTCCACGGCCCAATGCTTGGAGGAACCAAGTGATACCGATAAGCTACTCCCTAGACCTCTCTCAGGGTGCGCTCTGACCAGAATTTCGAAGCAACTCCAGCGGTGCCGACGAGGGCCTCCCAGAAGGCCCAAACACTGCGAAAACGAGGCGCAAGGGTAGCTAGAGGAGCGGAAAACAACATAAACATAAAATCTTTGAGGTCCGCGCAGACTCCATGGATCGGCACTGGGCCCACCTCCCTGGCGCGCGGAGCGCCGCCAAGGGGGCCCAACGCAAATCCAAGAAATCCGCGAAGACCTCCAAGGAGAGCGTCTCTTTATTTTCGGCGATGACGGGCGTCATGGAGGGGGGGGGAGCGGGGGGGGTATGACGTAACGCCCCCCCCCCCGCCGTGTGGCTCCGGCACCAAAGCCGCGCCCGCGCGCACGACGACGATGAGCCACGAGCGACGAGCGACGACGACGACGCGAGCAGCATGTAGGTGGCGATCTGCCCCACAGCGCCTGTGTATACCACAATGCTCGCGTGCACCACAGCGCGCGTGTACACCACAGCGCCTGCGTAGACCGCAACAGCCGTGTGCAACGCAGCGCCTGTGTACACCACAGTGCTTGCGTGCACCACAGCGCCGGTGTACACCAAAGGGAATGTGTACACCGCAGCAACCATGTGCAACACAGCGCCTGTGTACACCACAATGCTTGCGTGCACCGCCGTGCCTGTGCATACCACCGCGCCTGTCTACAACACAGCATCCTCGTGCAACGCAGCGCTGGTGTATACCACAGCGCCTGCGTGCACAGGACAGGTAGAACGAGTATGTAGGTGAGGATCTGCTACGGGCAGCTAAACGCAGCCAGGGAAGTGCTGATAATATAATGCGACGTTTTACCCTCCTCCCTCCAACGCCACCGCCACCGCCACCGCCACCGCCACCGCCACCTTCTCCTCCTCCTCCTCCTCCTCCTCCTCCTCCTCCTCCTCCTCCTCCTCCCTCACCATTCCCCCCCCGTCGTGGGGGTCGGCGCTACAGGGCACGTGAGGGAGGCAGGAGTAGCGGCAACAGCAGGAACAGGATGCCGACAAGAACGGATGCGAATGCGCATGTCTATGCGGATCCCCTTGATATTCCCAATGTGGACCAGACTCCTATGCGGATTCCTATGCGGACAGCTATGCGGATCCCGATGCGCACGGCGGCAGTGCCAAGAGCGCTCTGGTGTGGGGTGGGGGGGGTGGCGTTACGTCAAAGCGGGTGGGGGTGGGGGTGGGGGTGGGGTGGGGGTGGGGTGGGGTGGGGGGGGGGGCGAAGGCCATGACGCCCGTCATTAGAAACACCCTCACGAAACTAGATGTATGCCGATTTTGTTCTGCGAGTAGCGGTATCGGCACCAATTCCTCCTCCGAGTGCTGGCGGCGTCCGGGCCAGGGTCAGGCGCTGGAGAGCTGCTTCCGGGGGCAGCCAACCACCCGAAGCAGGCGGCCGCCGCACGGCCCGCCGCACTGGCCGAGGCCGCTACCAAGGAGCGCACCCTGGCCGTGCTGTCCTCCGCAGCGAATCTGCCTCGGCTGGCTCGGCTGCCGTCCTTCGGCGCTGCAAATGGAAGGGAAGGAAACGGGGACCATGATCAAGACTGCACCGGGAACCGTCATGCCGATCGTGGTCACCGTCGATTTTGGTCACCGTCATTTCGCTGACCCTCCTCGCGAATCGGCAACGACCGACATGGACCATGACCAACATCGGCACCGACAAATTCCCGCGACGTCTTAGTCATGGTCAGCGTGTCCCTTCCCTCGGTCCGAACCGGGGCCGAGGGGCGTGGGGCCCTGGGGCGAGGAGGTTTTACAAAATGCAAGCTCAACCTGGGTGCGGCAAGTTCGCGTCGTGTCGACCCTGGAGCTGACTTCTGCCACCGCGGGAACCATTCAATCAACCTTGCACGATCGGCCGTTTCAAAAACTTCAGCTCGTTGAACATTGACCAATTCTAGGTCGCCGGCGGCGTTCAACACACAAACACGGCGGTGGGGTCGCCGTCGGTCAACGCGACGCGACCCTACCGTTCCTCTCCCTTCCCTCAGAGCCCAATCCCTCAGCCAAGTAGACGCACAACTCGGGTTCGGGACTCGGGTTGGCCCGACAGAGCCGTCAGGAAAATTAAGGGACCCCGTCTGAAGTTTGACGCGAACTCTCGCTGCAAACATCCCACGAAAACTGCAGGACAGGACCGTCAAACAGCGTCGGCAAACCTGAGTTCCGGCGAATTCGAGTCTTGCCGCACCCCATCCTCCAAGACCCCATTTGCCAACCGACGGATCCTCCAGCAGCAAGCGGATCCCCCACCTGGTGTGCTGCACCTTGTGGGGGACAGCAAAGAAATTGCCCATAACACTGCTCCGCGGACCTCTCCAAGGACATGCCGACCCGCAACTCGAAGGGAATCCAGCCGTGGCGACGAGGGAAGGGCAGCGGTATGGGAGCGTCTGTGAGGCGGGCGTCCAAGAAGATGGTTCGCAAATCGCGTCGCTAGGCATGTGCACGGACGAAGCGGGGACCGACGCGCAAGAAAAAGACATGGGGCCATGAACTCCGCCCAGGCACCATGGCAAAGGCCATGATGTCCCACCCCGCAGTCATCAACCCCTCTTTTGGCCGCTCCCGAATGGCCGTGGAACAAAATCTCCCCCCCCCAGCAATGGAAACTGATCATTGTTTGGCGGCCTTATTGACGGATTGGGGCCCCGCCAACAGCGGAAAATAGTCACTTACCCGCGGTTGCGATAGCGAGTGCGACTACGACGACTGATACGACCTATGCTTCAGGAGAGCTCTCGCAGAAAACCCAGCTCAGACATTCGATCCTCCGAAGCTGCATCCCCAGAAGGACTGTTGATGGAGAGGGGGGTGAGGATGAGGGGGATATCGATCGATCCATTGATCGACTCTGCAGACATGTGCCGTGCGTTCGAACTGCAGTTGGCCGCGGCCGATCGTTTATATTGCGCGTTAACTCCTGAAGGGGGGCCAAGCGTGGCATTATGCATTTTGCTCCCACCCAGCCGCTACCACTGCTAGTTCGCCACGCTTTACTCCGGGATGGACAGACCCCCCTTTAGTAAAACGTGGTTCAGCGAAAACGACCTGAGCCCAAACCTGGCGGGCGCAAGCCTGGAAAATAACGGCCACGGCGTCTTCTGGGGAACCGAAAACGGACAACTCACTAATCGACGCGTCACTGTTGGGGGTTCTGTCCGCCCACGGTTTAAAGACGGCAGGCCGTTGGGCGGGGCGACCGGGGGGAGGGGGCCGAAAAAGGACTGAGACAGTAAGCGGGCAAAACCAACTGGAAAAATATAGGGCCTCGAGGTACGGCCGAGGGACAACGGCGTTCAACTCGTTCGAAACGAAGGCGAAACCCTTCCTCGTATACCCAGGGGGACACAAAAAAACTCACTGGCCTCCACGACGGAACCCGAATAGGTTCAGGATCTGCGCAAAGGGGGAAAATATTCTCGGAAGTCGACTGGGGAGCGGAACTCATGCGAGGCATGCTTTGGGGCTCCACTTTTCCGTGGGGAGTTGGCTGGGTAACCGAAGTAGTCGTGGGAATTGGCGTGCTAGGCGATACCCTCCAACCGATGGAAAAATCTGCGCAGCCCCCGATCTTCTTGCTGCGCGGCACCCAAGGTCATCTGCAGAGGGCGCGCATCGCGAGCCCTCGGCGGCGCACCGTGCCCGCGCGGGCCCCCTGGCTGCACCCGGGAGATGGCCGCGGCCCCATCGAGGTCGGGGGCGTCGACTGCCAGCCATATCTTCGCCAAGTCGCACGCGCGCGTCGTCTGCGCCCTGCAGCGCCTGATCTCGTCGGCGTCCGCGCGGCGCGAGAGCCGCTCCTGATTTACTCTCCGGTGGCGTTGCGTGACCTTGACGAGATTCACCTGGCCAATGTTCTCGCCCTGGGCGATCGGCGCGCCGACGAGGGCCATCCGCGCGCGAGGATGTGGGATGCCCAGCTCCTCCAGCTCTGGCATCCGTTGCCCAGCCTCGATATGGCCCTTGTTTGTCGCGTCCTTAGCCTAACCGTCTCTGTGCAGTATTACTCCGCGGTGGGCCGCGAGTACTGGGCGTCGTCGCGCTCGGCCATCGTCTGCGCGCGCCTGCGCGCGGCCGCCGCAAGGCGTGCGAGCCCCAGCTCGCGTCGCAGCGCCGCGCGCGCCGCCGCTGGGACACCCGCCTGCCCCCACTCTACCGGCGCGCGACCGAGGCCTTCGACGCCTTGCCGCACCGAGCCACAACGAGCGCACGCGGCGCCCCGAGCTTACCGAGGTGGGCCTTGACCTCGTCCTGGTGGCTGCCGAGGCGCAGGGCGCTGCCGTTGGCCCCGCTGGCACGCTGGTCTCTTCGGTCCGCCTCCTTCGCGGCGGAGCGTTCGGCACCCCTCTCCGCGCCGGCTCCCATCGGAGCTCTTGCCGCCGCCGTTCCGCCCCAGCGCTCGAGGCGCGATCTGCGGATGTCGACGTCGAAGTGCGCCCCTGGAGGCGGGTGGGCGCTCTCCTCTCTGACGTGCGTCTGCATGGCCGAGGGGGCGGCAAACGCGCCCTGGGCCCGAACGGCCCCAGAGCTGAGGCGCGCTGCGCGAACCGCACGGGGCCTCAGGAACCTCTGGGGCGAGAGGGCCATGGGGCGCGGGCTGAAGCCCACCAGGCACCTTCTGTTTGAGGAGCTGGACGGCATTTTCTTTTGGCTAGTACCTCCGATTTGGAATCAAGGAGCATGAGGAACGCCGGTTAATCGCGACAATTATGAGCAGGGCGGCGGCGCCGGCGGGCACCCAGAGCACCCCCGGAGGCAAAGACGTCGTTGCTGCAGGGCTCGCCGTTCTCCCGGGGGAGCTCGCGCGCGCACTCTCGCGGCGGCAACTCAGGCACTGGCGGGGCCTGTGGAGCGCGAAGACCCCGCGGAGGCTGGATGGGGGCGACAGAAGGCCTGGCCCCAATAGACTCTGCGGAGGCTCTCGGGGTCGACGCAGGCGAACGCCACTGCCGCACCATAGTTCGCAAAGATGGCCCGGATCGAGCGCCCGTGGCCCACTGGGAACATGGCTTGCGGAATCAGGCGGAGCGCGGGGATATCGGACTGCATCTGAACAGCCCAGTTTTTTCTTTTTTGGGTGCAAATCCGTCCTCCCGAAGCGAAGACGGACGCGCCATTTTCATGAACTGCGAGTGCTCGAGTAGTGCTGCTACAGCCTGCGCAGATGCATCAGATACTGGGCCAAACGCTGCCGGGGTCTTATCCTGCGCGCGAGAAGCTCTGTCCTCGCGTCTGCCGCGGCAAACTCTGTTCCACGCGCCGATCCACGCCGCTCGCGTCGGCGCGCCGCGCGAGCCCCCCCGCCCCCCGAGAGGGGCCTTCGCGAATCCCAAAATGGCTGCGTTTAGCTCGGCATGGCCCCTCCCGTAGAGGACGCATGCCTCGAGGCCCGAGTGAGCCGCGCCGCGGGGAACCGACCCCAGGGAGGGCCATGCGTTTTATCATCGCAGAAACAAGCCTGCAGGGCCCAGAACCCCCCGGGCTTGCGCCGGGCCGAACGGGCGCCATCAACGCGGGCCCGTCGGCCCCCGCCAATCCAGCGGGTTGCTTTACTCCCCCGTGATGCACAGGCCGTGCCCAAGGTTGCCCTGGAATCAAGACAGGACCTGACGAGACAGCTCCGGCGGCCGCGTAGCTCCCTGCGTCGAAAGAGACGGGCATGGCGATTTCTTCACCAGCATTCTGGGCGAAACCTCCATGGGCCCCGTGCTTCTGGGCCAGGAGGTCGGATGGCCTCTTGGCCGGGCCTGCCGCTCGGATCGGGCTCGAGTAAGGAAGGGGGGGGGGGGGGGGGGGGCAAGGTCTGGGGAACATCGCCTGCGCCAGTCCCGCGCGGCGAGGTCCGCGAGTTGGCCCGACAAAGGGCGGTGGGCGAGGGTGGCCGCCTCGAATGCCGGAGCCTCGGCGCCGCCGTCGAGGGCGAAAGTCTCGTCGCTCTCCGCCGCGAGGGCGGCGCTTCAGCCCGCGAGGCGGCGGGCAAAGGAGCGGGCGAACAGCTCGCGCGCGTTGCCGTCGCCCATGCCAGCGCCGCCAATGAGAGCGCAGAGGGCCGCCCCGCCCCCCGCGCGCCCCCGCGCGACGGTCTCCGCGCCGCGCTGCCCCGGGAACATCTGGCCCTGCATGTCCGGGATGACCGGGCCCCTGGCCCGCCGCGCCCTCGCGCGCGGAGCGCGCCGCGGAGGAGGTGACTTCCTCGTCCTCGTCCTCCTCCTCCTCCTCCTCCTCCTCCATCTCCTCCTCCTCCTCTTCCATCTCCTCCTCCCTCTCCTCCTCCTCCTCCTCCGCGGGGGGGGCGTGGCTCGTGCTCTTCCTTGGCTGCGCGCAGTTCACCTTGTGCTTCCCGTGGGTTCTCGAGTCTGGCTGAGCTCCCTGCCGCGCGCGGCGTCGGGCGCGGCGGTGGGCGCGATGCGGCAACAGTGGCTTGCGGCGACGCGCGAAGATAGCACGGTGCCCAGTCTTGCCGAACGGGATCAGCCCCGTGGCCTTCGCGCCGGCCCTGTCACCCCCCCTCGCGGGGTGGCGCGTCCTAGACCAGCGCCACCAAGCAGGAGCACGGCATAATACGCCCATCTGTCTACTCATGGCTGGGAGGCGCCCCGCCAGTGTAAAAAATCGCACATGTGAAGGTGGCCGTCGAAGGGCGCAGTCGTCTGGCACGCTGGCGGGGTCGCATCGGCTCTCACGACTCGCCGCTTTAAGGACCGGCGAACCAGATCCCCGCAGGGGCCGAGTGCGAGGGGGAGGGGGAGAAACGCGCACGAGCGGACATCCTCAGCGCCGCGAACGTCCCCGTCCAGTCGCCGTAGGCCGTCGCAGCAGGTGGTTCTCTCTGCCCCTGCCATTCACCGCCCGGGTCATTTTGTGCGCGTAGCTCGAGAGCCAGGTGGACAGGGAACTCTGGGTCAGGTACTTGTGCAAGCGAGAGACCTCCGTGGGCGTCCGCGGCCGGCATGGCGTCGGTCCACGCGTCGTCAGTAAACTGGAAGTGCGGAAAACAGTTTTGAAACTTCGTCGTCGTACTCGATGATACCTGCCTGACCCCACTCTGGCAAGCAACCGTCCACGCCGTAGGTGTATGGCCGCGCTCGGCAACTGGGGCGGCCTCGTCGGGAAGCCTACGGACCTGGGGGATGTCAAGACGTCGCCTGGTGCGCTTAGCCCCCCTGTCGCAGGCTCTGAGTTTCTTTCCACGGTCTGGAAGTTCATGTCTCTTGGTGATGTATTAAGAAGCTGGGCCCTCGGGTCCGCCACGCTCGAAGTCGGGGAAGGCGGCAGCTCTGACGTCTGCTACCAATGTTCACCACGCCCCTGAGGGGTCATCCGCACGTGCCAAGGATTTCCATATTGCATGAGAAGATTGGCACCTACGTTCCTGCTCTCCGATAGGGCCCTTCGTCCCCCGCTGGCTCTGGGAGTGTGGCCACTATCTCGTAGTCCAACTACGGCTCGCTGTTATGATCATCCTGAAACACAAGCGATACCGAAGTCTCCATAGCAAAAGACATTGGTTCTTGGGGTGGGCGTGAGAGATCCGTTGCAGATTCCTCATAGCGCCTCGCAGGGTCATCGCAGGACAAACGAGGAAGAGGAGGAGGAGGAGGAGGAGGAGGAAAAGGAGGACAAGGAAAAGGAGGAGGAGGAAGAGGAGGAACAGGAGGAAGATAATGGACGAGTTCCCCTTCCCGCCGAAAAATAGGGGGAGTAAAACAGAAGACCTTCACACGTTATTTCCTCCTCGTTTGAGCAGCGGTGCGGGGGCCCGGCCTCCAAGAAGCCGACGCACCCTTCGCCTCCGGCTTGGGTCAAAAGAAAAACAAAAGACGCATAAACAGAATCAAAAGGAGGTCCGCGCCGATTTCTTGGATCCGCGCTGGGCCCCCCTCCCTGGCGCCCGGAGCGCGGCAGGGGCGGCGCCAGAGGCACCGCCAAGGGGGCCCGGTGGGCGTGAAATCCTCTTCGACCGTGGTTTTTCATCTAGGAGTGAAAACCTAGGTTCGTGATCTGCAGATGATACCCTATGGATTCTTGTCCTGCGAAAAAGGTCGGGCTCCCCCCCCGGCCAAATCATTATATTTCTGGAATAATCAACCTAAACTCAAGATTCCAAACTTACCTCCAAACAGCGCCTCCCAGGCTCAATCATTATCATTCCAGAATAGTTAACCCGGGGTCAATAATCTGGGAACATTATAAATTCGGGTTTATTATCTCCTGGAGATAACGAGCCGGGGTCAATATTCCGACATAAAAAACCTGATGAGGAACCCGGGGGGTGGGGGGAGTATAATGATTACCATCATTCCGGAGTGGCGAAAACCGAGTTCATTATTCCCGGGACATTGTAAACCCCAGTCAATATTTCCAGAGGATTATGAACCCACATTAGTATGTTTTTCGGGTCGATATCCCCACAATGTAATAAACCAGGGTTTCTAATGTTCCGGGGGAATCATTATGAACCCAAGTCAACATTCCCAGAACATTTAAACCCAGGTTCATATGGTTCCACGCGAGACATTATGAAACCTGGCCAACAATCCAAGAACATTCTAAACCCATAATAATATCTATTTGAGGTCCATCCTGCACCGCATATCCAAGAAGTCCGCACGGAGCTCCACAAGTTGATGTGCTGTCGTTGCTTATAGAGGCCTCCTGGATGGTGTCCGAGTAGGTGGGGTCGAGGGATCGCGCCGCATCCCCAATGCATCGTCGATGTATCGGCAATGCATCGGCGATGCACTGGCGATGCGTCGGCGATGCATCGGCGGCGTCGGCGCGGGGAAACACGGGCTCCACATCGAGCCGCGTCGCGGGTGCATCGGCGATGCGGCGCGATCCTCCGACCCCACCTGCTCCGACCCCATCTGGGAGGCTCAGAAGTTGTTCTCCGGGCCAGGCGCCCGAGAACTCCTGCTGGGCGGGGCGACCAGCCCCCCAGGACGGCTCGCGCGCGGGGCCCGGCGGGCGCGCGGCTCCGCGGGCGCCCGGCGGGCGCGCGGAGAGAGCCGCAGGCCTCGGGCCGAAATGCGCCTCGCCGGCTTCCGATCAGGCCAGGAGGAGGTGCGTGGGCCCGTCTCTCGGCGGCGAGCGCTGGGGGGGAAACGGGGAGCAGGAGAGCCCCGAGTCGGATCGACAAGTCGGGTCGGCGATCGAGAGGAATCGGGTCGGCGGAAACCTGCAGCCACGTCGGGAGAAGTCGAGTCGGCAGAACTCGGCAGGCTAGTGGGCCTCCATTGAGGAATCGGAAGCCACATCGGAATCCGAAGTCGAAGCGAATCGGAACCGGACACCATCGAGTCGAACCGAGGAGGGAGGAGGGAGGAGGGAGACGACGACGACGACGACGACGACGACGACGAAGCCGCCGCCCTAGAGGATGAGCCCCTCTCAGAAGGCGGCGGGGCTTCTCAGAAGCCCTCCGGTCTTCTGACAAGTGCTCTGCGCCTTCGGGGAAGGCTTAGCACACTTCTCCGAAGGCCGGGATGCTTCCGAGCCTTCTGAGAAGGCCCGCGGCTTCCCACTCCCCCCCGGGGCTTGCCGCCGAGTCTCGCCAGCGCTGACAAAGCACCAGCGCTCTCGCAAGTGGCGGTGAACTTCATGGCCGCGTGCCAGCGGCGAGAAGGATGGACTCCCGCGAGGGCGGCCCCCGCGGAGCGTCTGAGGCTCGACCGGGAGAGTGCCCACGGCGTCCCACGGTCGGCAGCTCGCAGCACCGCGGCACGTCTTACGCCACAAGAATTCCGAAGATTGGGGCATGTGTACTGCGGAGTCGGTGTCGTAATGCTGCCCCTGACCATCTGATGCAAGTATTCCCTCTGGGCCTGTAGGCAACGTCCATCGCGAGACTCTTCGAGTCGAAACGCGCTTCCCGTCCTTCAACCGCATCGAATCAGGGAACAACATCGACCCGCTTCCCTCTTGGACCTCCCCAAATTTATGCCAATACTGTCCTCCAGGCCAAAAAACGCTGTCCATCGCGCGACTCTTCGAATCTAAGCGCACATCCCGCCATCCAACCGCAAAGAATGGATGAGCGACCTAGAGCCCGTTTCCCGCCAAGACGTCCCCAATGCATACAACTATTTCCCTCCGGGGCGATAGACGATGTTCTTCGCGCGACTCTTCAAATCAAAGCGCGCTTCCCGTCATCCGCCAACGAATGACATATAAAAAACACCCTCGAACGGTATGTAAATCCATATTTTTGGATCTGCTACAGGTTCAACCACAAAGTCCAACTCGCCGCCAGCGTGCCCGCTGGCACATTGGGGCGCGCTGGAATGCCAGGGTCTGCCTGGTAGGGCTTCTGTAATTTACTAAGGGCTCTCACCCCTTGGGGAGTACCCACCTGCGTACACCACCCCCCTCTTTCCGAGGCCACAACCCCTCGCAGAATGCAACAATTTCGCGCTCCCGAGGCCCATATGCCTTTAAGACGGCCCAATATCGCTGCAAAACAATCCATTTTGTCCTCAAGACGGCCCAATCTGGCTTCCAGACAGCCCAAGAAGCCTTCGAGGCGTCCCGAGCGGGCACCACGAGCCTTGCCAAGAGGGCCCCGAGAGGCAAAGACAATGGATGGACTGTTTCTCAGCATGCTCTTCGGGTTATCTCGAGCTTCCGACGTCGCAAGACGACTCCAGAGGCCACCAGCACTGCCCCAATACAGCCAACGAGGCCAAAGAGGGCCAGAAAGAGGGCCCCACCCACGCCTACGAGGACTCCACGACGGCCTAAGATGCGCCCAAGAATGCCCAAAACGGTCCCACGAAGGGACCAAGAGGATGAACCTAAAATTCGAGCTTGCCACCCCAAGAGGGCCCGGGAGGCTCCAAAAGGGATAGAAAGAGGCCCCAACCAGGACCCCGAAAGGCACAAACCATTGCAGTCCAAGAGGCCCCCAAGAGTGCACAAGAGGCCCCGAAGAGAGCTCCAAGACGGCCCAAAGAGCGCTCCAAGACGGCCCTGGCAGCGCCCAAAACTGCCCCGAAAAGCTGCAGGACGGCCACAAGAAAGGCTAACGACATGGAGCGTGAATCAAAGGCCCCCAACAGGCCCCCTTGCCTTCTGGAGTGCTTGCCGCCCCAAAGGGTGCGCTGGCACGGTGGCGGGAATGCCAGAAGCAACTGGATGTCATTAAGACTGGGGGGGCCGAACGGCCTTCTTCTGTCACTGGGTGCGTGGATGAAGTGGCGGGGCTAGCGATTCCAACGTCCTGTTCCCCACATCCGAAGTCGGCTTCTTATTTTCTCTGGACACCCCGCGCGGGAGCCATTCACCCCATCCTCCATATGTTACCAGGGCACCCCGCGCGCATCATTTTGCTCGACAACAGCATCATCATCCTCATCCTCATCGTCATCATCATCAGCAGCATCATCATCATCATCCTCAGCATCAGCATCATCATCATCATCATCATCATCATCATCATCATCATCATCATCATCATCATCATCATCATCATCCAATCGCACGCACATGCGCACGCACGAGCACTCTGCTCGCATGCTCTTGGGCACGCACATCGTACCCCGGAAAAAAACTTGAGCAGGAGCCCCCTCCTTACAGTCGGACCTAGGCCAAAACAAGTTGTTCAAGAACGTGAAACCCTCCGCCAGCCGAAACACCCCAAACCCTAGGATCATTCGCGGGTGCCCTCACCCAGAGCACACAAGCACTCAACAAACAAAAAGAACACTAGGACGCCGTCCCCGAACCGACATCGATCTTACACCTCGGTCCGACCGTATGGGTCCCGCACCTGACGTTTTTAATCCCAGTGGGTCATCCTCAAACCTGTATTTTTTTGTAATCCTGGGGCTCCTCAGGCCTGAGTTGGGAGGGGGTCCCCACCAGGAGCTTCGCCCGCGAGGGAAGTCTCTGGCGGGGGCCTCCTCCCCATAGGGACCGCAGCTCTTGTGTGTGTGCGTGTGTGTGTGTGTGCGTGTGTGCGTGTGTGTGTGTATGGGTGTGTGTGTGTGTGCGTGTGCGTGCGCGTGCGCGTGCGCGTGCGCGTGCGTGCGTGTGCGTGTGCGCGTGCGCGTGCGCGTGCGCGTGCGCGTGCGCGTGCGGGTGCGTATGCGTGTGTGTGTGTGTGTGTGTGTGTGTGTGTGTGCGTGTGCGTGTGCGTGTGCGTGTGTGTGCGTGTGCGTGCGCGTGTGCGTGTGCGTGCGTGCGTGCGTGCGTGTGTGTGTGTGTGCGTGGGGGGCGGGCGTGCGTGCGTGCGTGCGTGTTCGTGTGTGTGCGTGTGCGTGTGCGTGGGCGGCGTGCGCGTTGCGTGTGCGTGTGCGTGTGCGTGTGCGTGTGCGTGCGCGTGCGCGTGCGCGTGCGCGTGCGCGTGCGCGTGCGTGCGCGTTTGCGTGCGCGCGTTTGCGTGCGCGTGCGCGTGCGCGTGCGCGTGCGCGTGCGCGTGCGCGTGCGCGTGCGCGTGCTCGTGCGTGCGTGTGTGTGTATGTGTGCGTGCGTGCGTGCGTGCGTGCGTGCGTGTGCGTGTGCGTGCGCGTGCGTGTGCGCGTGCGTGCGCGTGCGCGTGCGCGTGCGCGTGCGCGCGCGCGCGTGTGTGTGTGTGTGTGTGTGTGTGTGTGTGGTGTGTGTGTGTTGGTGTGTGGTGTGGGGGGGGGGGGGCGTGCGTGCGTGTGCGTGTGCGTGTGCGTGTGCGTGTGTGTGTGATTGCGTCCGATGAAAATCAACAGCCTAAACACTCACAGTTATATATGTGTATATATTCACAACCCAAAAACCAGCGGCTCCTGCGGAAACCTGTCACTGTCGTCGTTACTGCAATCCTCCGGCTTGAAGACGGAGGACGTCTCAACGGAGAGACTCGTCCGTGAGTGAGTTGCGAGACAATCTCAGGAAGGAGACCCTTCCCTATGGGGCGGTCGAACCCGACAGGGCGCGCGGAAGTCTCCGGGGGGGCAGAGCTGCGGCGGAGCCGCTCGCGGCAGAGCTCGGCCTCGCGCCGCCTCCCGCCGGAGCGCGGCCGCGCCACGCCCGAGGTCCGCGGGGTTGCCCCCACGGCTTGCTCCCTCGCCCCAGCGGCCCACGAGGTTACCCCAACGGCCTGGCCGGCCGGGTTGTCCCAACGGCTTCGCCGTGTAGCCTGCGGCAAACGCGCCGCTGCCGGCAGCGGCGGCGAGGAAACTCGGAATGCGTGGCCCGGCCAGAATGAAGGAGAGGTGCTTGAGGAGATCAGGCGGGATGGAGATGAGGAGAGGGAAAAGGAGGAGGTGGAGGAGTAGGAGGAAAAAACGAGGGGGGGCAGGAGGATGACGAATACAACGAGATGGACGAGACGGAGGAGGCGACGGAGGGCGACGAGGAGGAGGAGGCGGAGGAGGAGGAGGAGCGGACGCAACAGAGGGCGGGAAGAGGGCCTTTGGCAGGCCGAAGAGGAAAGAGCGAGGGGCAAGCTAAGTAGATTCTCGTGCGGGGTCCTACCATCGGAATATTTGTTGGTTGATTGTTGTTGTCATCGTCCTCGCCCGCGGCCCTTCACGCCGTTGACGATGTGCTCCCCCTCTTTCTCCTCAACGTCCTGCTCCTCCGATTCGTCCTCCATCCTCCCCCTCTCGAGGTACGGCGGTTACTCAAGTTGGTCATTCCGGTGCATGCTCCTCCAAATCTCTGATCGGGGCAACTCGCCTGGGCACCGTATCTGGATGGACTGGCGGGGCCACGTGAATCGTCGACTAGAAAAGAAAATATCGACGCTCGATCGCCCGCAGGCGGGCCTTCACGCCGCTGACGGGGCTTTCCGGTAGTTCCCCAAGAGGCCCTCCAACAGAGCCCACTACGTTCCCAAGAGAGCCCCAAGAGCCGCTCCAGAGCGCCAGCGTCTTCGTCGTCGCCGCCGCCGCTGTCGCTGTCGTCCCCCTTCAGCGCCGACAGCACCGGCCGCAAAGGATCGACGCACGATCCCCCGCAGGCGGGCCTTCACGCCGTTGACGATCTGCTCCACGCGGGCTGGCGCCGTCCCGCAGCCCGCGAAGCCCCGCTTGGGGTCCTCTCGCCAACGAGCAGGGAGCGCCCACCACCCGGCCCTTCGGCTGCACGGAGGCCCCTCCCTTCCAATAGGGAGGGAGGGGAACCAGCTTCGAGCTTATCCCTGTGGCCAAGATTGGCAAACCCAGAGGCGATGAGAATCTGAGGGATGCGCCCTCAGAAACTGAGATAGAATCCTTGCGATCGGCATCGCGACGAGATGATGCCAGTCATCAGGATGGGGATGTGCTTCGGGCAAGTAAGGGGCTAGGGATCGTGGCTACAAGAGCAAGGTTTTCGGGCGTTTTAGTCGCTTGCCGCGAAGTTCTCCAGCACTGGGATGCCTTCCTGCAACTGATTCCCGCCAAGATCATGGAAGGGTGTCCGAATTGTCACCCGCGATGTGGCCCAGCTCGAGGATCGAGATTTTTGGCCTGATGATCGCCACGGTTGGATTCGCCGTGATATTCTGACAAGATCGCGATTCAAGGGATCGAGGTTGAATAATCAAGATTCGAGCATCACAGGTTTCAGGATCCAGATTCGACCCAGACGTCAAACCTCTGGACAAACACCACGGTGGAATTGGTTCGACGTTTGGCACCTGGGCCCAGGCCTGCTCGCGTCGTTTTTGAGGGTGGTGGGGACCAGCGAGTGCCCAAAGAGCCTGCTGCCGCTGTTGGGCAGGCGGCCTTTCATCTCAAATGGACACCGTCCGCGGCGACACCGACAACGAGTCCGGTTTAAAATGAGCCAGAACTGCTGCTGGTCTGAGTGCTCAACCTTGCCGTACCAATTTCGACGATACCGAACTGAGCTGGAGCGGGTCTTTTAGGGACGCAGGGGGGGAACGAAGAGGTTGAGTACCAAACGCCTGGAGATCACACGGCTGGACTCACGCGCAGAACATGTGCGGCAGTCGGGCGCGCCAGAGGCGCAAGCCTTGGGAAAATGGGCATGCCAGGCAACGATGGCCATGCGGCCCACCCGTAGATCCAACTCTCGCCTGGGCGGGCCATGCCTCGTGAGCGACGGAAGAAAGGAGTCCTGCGCGGCATGGCATGGCGACCTTGCGACGCGGCACGCGCGGGACGCCAGCTCGGCGGTCTACATTGGAAACGAGGGCGCTTACGCGCGACATTGCGCGTGAATCTAGCGCGCCAACGTCGGTGCAGCCGACCTTGCTTTCTGTATCCCACCTTGGCCATGTGGATCCAACTTCCCAGTATGAGGCGACCCACACGTCCAGCTGTGTTCGCTGCCCTGCAGGGGACAGGCGATCTTTCTAAGGTCGGAATCCCAATTTTCAGGCGTAATGTGTGCTACAGGTATCTGCATTGAGTGAGGCTCCATCGGCAGGGACTGAAGAGATGTGCGGGGAGGCGGCTGCAAGCGTAAATCACCACGCTGAGCATCCTGCCACCGCTGTGCATACGTACACATTGGAAACAGAATGTGGTGACGACACGATCTGCTACGTGAACTGGCGCACATGGCGCACCCACTATTTCTTATTGATGCGCCCCCGGAACCGGTTTTTGGAAATCAACTTCTGGAATGCGAAAATGGGCCCGATTATTAGGGGCCGTTCCGCGAATTCGAAGCGCCGGAGATGCGTTTTCTTTTAGGCACCTTTCGGGCGTTGGCAAAACTGGGTTTAGTGGAACCTGGTTCAATGATTTGTACCGGGGGCGCCCCGCCGTCCCATTTCCACTAACCAGAACTGCCGTCACCCGAAAAACACAAATTACGGCAAACCTGGTTTAGTGAATCTGGCCAATTGAGGGGCCCCAGGGCCCTACCACTAACCGGGTCCCCTTACCCGGGGTCCTGGCTATACCCAAACCTTTTATGGCACGGGCGGTGGGGCGGATAGGCCATGTTGGCAAGCATGTTCTGCTCCCTTCCCGCCTGCGCACCCCTGTAGTTACTGTGCTTTGCAAGCGTGCGAATGTCAATGAGCCGTTGCCTTCGCGGTGCTCCTCTTTCTGCATATGAGGCAAACATAACGATCGGCGGCAACATGTAAACACGAGCGCGCATGCTCGCGTACGCGTACAGGGGGGGTCGACCCGAGCTCGTTCTACCCTAAGGCAGATGCCTGTGGGCCCTAGGTTAGCATATAAAAACGCTGAGTAACCAATGATTTGAGGGAGAGCAACGTAGTCATCGAGGAGAGCGGTATAGCAAGACAATGCTATGCGTAGTGGATATAGGACAAACAAGGGAGCCGACTGAGAACGAGGAAATCATCGCCAATACGATTGTCGACATCGGAGCCGTTGCTATCAATGCAACTCCTACTTGCGAACACAATTTTCCTACCGACTCCTACGATCACCACCACCATCACTACTAGAGCAAGCGTTCATACCGGCAATTGCCTGCAGCGATCTCCATCCATCCTCACCACCGTCGTCATCCTCACATCACCCTCATCATCATCGTTGTCGTTGCGGCCGGTGGCATCGCCATCACTATCAACACCCTTGTTGCACTCATAGTCATCCTTACCAACATCATCTCTATGTTCACCATGGCCATGAACGACGTTCTGAATTCGGCTGGGCGGGGCTGGGTCATTCATGCACCTCCCCGCGGAGGAGAGCGAGAAATTTAAGGCACGGAAGCGAGAGGGGGGCAATTCTCCAGTGGGGCAGTTTCATCTGGGATATGGAGTATGCGCATATCGAGCATGCAACGCAAGTGGCGCGCCTGGAGCACGTGGCACGCGTGGCGCGCGTGGTAAATCTGGCGCACCAGGCGCGCCTAGGCACCTGAGGCACCTGGCACTCGTGATACAGCTCGACAGCGTTGCGTACATGGCCTCTGTATTGGTTCCCCGTTGACCCTGGGATGGTGGCCGCTGCCTGTGCCGAGTCCCAGGTGCAACTTACGAAGCGGAAGGGCCGGTGGGATTGATCGTTTGGCGAGACAGCCTTTGGCGTAGGATTTATGCTGGAAACTTGTCCCATCCAATGTTTACCTCTCCTCCCTCTTCTCCTCCGTCCATCCCCCCCCTCTTAAAGCAAGCCACGGCGAAATCAACCGAAAACCGACGGAACCGATATCGAAACTGACCCCGACCGAAACCGACAGGCCACAAGAAGCCCGGACGAACGCAGCGAAGCGGCAACGACGCGACAACCGACCGAACCGAACAGACGGGGCGCAGCCGACCGCGGACACCCTTGCCTCCCCTCCCCTCCGCTACGCTGATGCTCCTCATACTCCTCTACCCCTCCCCTCTTCCCCACCCCAGGCATCCGACGCCCACAATGTGATTCCCCAAAAGTCTGGACCCCTTCCATGGGACCGGCTTTTCATCCTGAATCGTGTTTTGGAGTGTTCTGGGGCCTGGCGAGAGACCCCAGGGGCCGAAAACTGTGCGTCGTGAACAATTCCTGGTGCGAGGGGCTTTACGACGGGGTGGTGTCTCCGAGGTCGCTTCATGGCTGCTCTTCTTTCGGGAGCGGCAAAGAGGGGGGCGTCCAAGAGGGGGGGGTGCAAATCATGGCCGGCGGCATGTGCGCGGCCCAGGGGGGGGGGCCAGGGACGTAATGAAATAAGAAGAGACGCCACGAAATCTGGGGAAATATCATGGCCCACGCCATGATATCTACCCCCCCTAGTCATCACCCCCCTCTTGGCCGCCCCCGATTCTTCCCTGTCCGGTTGCCAAGCGGCGGCCGGGGCTGGGTCAGGGTTGGGCATCCCCGAGCCGCCTTCCGCCAGGCAGCCATACTAAAGATCAGCGGCGCGCGCAAGGGGGGTAGGGAGAGGGGGAAGGTTTCTTAGAAGGAGGCTGCTTCTTAGAAGGCGCTGGCCCTGCATCTACAGAGACGGCTCCCGCGCCTTCTAAAAAGCAGGGGATCTTCCTAGAAGCCTTCCCCCGTCCCCCTACTCCCTTCTGGGGCGTGCCCGAAAACGAGGCCGTGCCCGCGCACGCACACTCGATCCGCAAGCGTCTAACCAACCAACCTGTCCCTTTCCGCATCCCCCACCCCTCTCCTCCCGCTCCTCCTCCCCTTCCGCATCCCCCACCCTCCCCGCCAGCTCCTGCCCCACGTCCTCGTCCGCATCTTTAAGAACACGTACAATGACATAAACACAAACACTCGGAGGTCCGCGCGGATTTCTCGGATCGGCGCTGGAGCCCCCTGGCGGCGCCCCTGGGCGCGCTCGGCGCGCCAGGGAGGGGGATCCAGCGCCGATCCGAGAAATCCGCGCGGACCTCCGAACTTTCATATTCATCTAATTGTTCGTTCCTTTAGCATCCCCCCCCTCCCTCCCGTCCTCGTCCGCACCCCCTCCCGATCCCCCTATCCCCCTGGAGGAGGAGGAGGAGTAGGAGGAGGAGGAGGAGGAGGAGGAGGAGAAGGAGGAGGAGGGTCAGTGTAAACCCAACAGGCATCAACGATGTTGGAATAAACCCTCCCTCTAAGCTCCCTCTTCATGGGCCCCTACATCGGCTCATTTTGGGGAACTGCCTCTAAGGAAGAAAACTGTGTCGGAGACCCTGAATCAACGCCACGGATCAACCTGACCGTTGCGTCCTGACGATCCTGAATCGTGCCAGAATGCCCTTCCTGAGACTCGAACACCGCGAACATAACCTGTGCACCCTCAAAAGCCTGAATCCTTCCAAAAAGCCATTCCTGGTACGCTGGTCATGGGGAACCCGTGAATCTCTTGCAATGCTTTCAGACGAATGTGCGCGGCGCTGAGGTGAGAGCCACAATATGACAAATAACCGCCCTCAACCCTTGAAGCGCTTGCATTTTTCTCGAACGAATGTGCACGGCGCTAAGGCGAGAGACATACATTGAAAAATCCGCCGATCCGGCGTGTGAGTTTCAAGGAGTCTCAGCTACAGCCTCGAGGCTGAGCCTCAGCCTCTGGGGGTGTTGCTGGGGTGGCTCTGCCGGGGAAGGGGGGGTGGGGGGGGGGGGGTGCGAGTTTCCAGCGGATGCGTTTTTTGACACCCCTCACAAGGATCGTGGCCTCCGAGGGGGTTCCGAACTCGAGTACCACCCCTCCCGCACCAAGAGGCTCCGAGGAGGCCTCCAAGAGGCCCCAAGGGGCGCAGAAGAGGCCCCCAAGAAGCCCCAAGAGGCTCCCAAGAGACCCCCAAGAGGCCCTCTAGTGGCCCCAAGAGGCCCAAGAGGCCCCCAAGAAGCCCCAAGAGGCGCCCAAGAGGCCCCCAGAAGCCCCAGCCAATCACGAGATCCCAACCAGCATCCATGAGGCCTCTGACCCACCACCCACGCACGGTGGCGGGATAGGCCGACGGCCACTGGATAAATGCTGAGTGAGAGGAGGGGAGGGAAAAAGAGAGGAGGGACGAGGGCGAAGAAGGGTCACATCAGTCGGAGCGCCCCGGATCGGCGGCACTGGCCGAAGGCCACTACAATATAACAACCATCAATCCGTTAAAGTTCAACAACTGTTTAAAACTAATGTGCGCGGCGCTAAGGCGGGAACCATTTTTTGAAAACGACTTGCCCTCAATCAATGAAACATTTGCACGTTTAAACAAGAATGTGCGCGACGCAATTCTGAGAACCACATTTCGAAAAAGAACCGCCCTCAATCCGTGAAACTCTTTCAGCTGTCCAAAACGAATGTCCGCGGCACTAGGGCGAGAATTACATTGTGAAAAGGAACCGCCCTCAATCCCTGGAACTCTTCCACATGTTTGAGACGAATGTGCGCGGCGCTAAGGCGAGAGCGACATTTTGAAAACGGCTCGCCCTCAACCCTTGAAACTCTTGCAATTTTCTAAAACGAATGTGCGCGGCGCTAAGGCGAGCGCCGCATTTTGAAAACGACACGCCCTCCATCTTTGAAGCTGTTGCCAATTTCTAATCTTCAGAATCATGAATGGCGAGGAATTCTCAGGCGAAACGCCCTGCCCGCCCTGAAAACTGGCTTCGGGGTGCGACAGGGAAGAAGTTATTTGTAAGGAGAAGGAATGGAGGAGGAGGGGGATGAAGAGGAGAAGGAGGCGGAGTAGGAGGATGAGGGGGAGAAGGATGAGGGGGAGCAGGAGAAGGAGGAGGAGGAGGAGGAGGAGGAGGAGGGGTAGGAGGAGGAGGGCGGAGAAGGAGCCCCCCCGCCCTTGTCCGCATCAAACCCCCCCCCTCTTCTCCCGCTCCTGCCGCGGGATGATGCCCGGCTCCGTGCACGCGGCCCGGAACAGGCTGGCCAAGGCCACCTGGCGAGCCCGGACAGCCAGTCCAGGGGGGCACCGCTGGTGCCGGGGCATCAGAAGTGGAGAGGGTACTGTCGGACATAAGCATCCCTCAAGAACAAGAGATCCTCCGTCGGCCAAACCAGACATAACATCCAAGGGTACCCTCCCCAGGATGCACAATAATACCCAACAACAAATGATAGGTCGGGCATGTCCCCCTACAGGCGGAGCTTGGACGACAGCAAAACTCAAAGCATGCTCAAACATATTCAAACAAAGAACAGAACAATCGGCCCCTGACTATGTTTGCCTATTCTTGAATGCTCCTCCTATAGAGGGACACGCCCGACTCAAAACTAGGCCAGGAAAACATCCCTCAAGAACAAAACGCCCTCCGTCGGCCAAAACAGACAGAACATCCACGGGTACCCTCCCCAGGGTGCACAATCATACCAAACGAACGCCAAGAAAACTGGGGCACCCTCCCCGAACCAACCTCGATCTTATACCTCGGGCCGGCTGTAAGGGAAGGGACTCGGCTGCACACGAGGGCGACGTCAGACAAGAATGACCTTTGGTGCGACGCCCGCCGCGATCGTTGCATGCGATGCGGCGGCAGTTGCGGTCTGCGTGCTTGGGTGTGACTCCCCCGCGCCCCTCCGAAAGCTGCCGCGCACCCAGGGTCACTCCAGCGAGAGGTCGTTCCCGCGTGTGGCCGAGGGACGGAGGCAACCAGGCGCAATCGAAACACTGCCACAACAACGTGAGCGAAGCACAGGAGCCCTCTCGCCCGAGGCCCCAGGCCCCGTGGAGACTCCCATACAGAGAACACCACTCCAAGGTGAAGAGTCCAAGCACGAACAACAGAGGGACACTCCTTCTGAGGATCGCGTCACCGATCCCCGTCCACACTCGATGGGCAAATTTTCCACCACCATTACCAGATGTAGGACGGGGGAGAAGGGAGGATGAGGGGGTCCTCCTCCTCCTCTTCCTCCTCCTCCACCTCTCCTACTTATGGTAGTGGAAAGGGAAAACTGGCCCATCCACACTGGCATGACCTTGGCTCCACTGGCCGCCGTACTCTCCTAAGTGGGGATATCTGCTGCTTCCGTCGGGCGTCGCGGGGCCCACCCACACCTGGGGGGGGTGAACTGGTGGGGCTGAGACACCATGGCCCAGTGGGGATGGGGATCGGTTATAGGATGCAAGCCTCCACTTGTACGATTCTGCTAAACCATCATGGCAGCTGTAAGAAATGGGGGCCGTGAAATCCGGGCGCCGTGAAGACATCCACGGCTGACACTTTCGCCCCGCCTCAGGGCCCTCCAGAAAACTGAAGGAATTCTTAAGATCGGCACGGTATTAATGTGATGCCACTCATAGGGTCATGGGACTCATTAGCGGCATGTTCCAGAATGGTGAACTGACCTCTCGAAACCAACGTTCGTCTGGATTTCTCGAGGCGGGCCAATTGTCCGTAAGGTTCTGAGACCGCGCGCCGGCCGGACCTCTGGAGGCCCAGACTCATCAAAAACTGTGTCCTGGAGGGCATCAAGAGCCAGACCACCACCGAAGTCCCAACACATCAGACTCATCATTCACAGATCACCGCATTATCATTCAGCCCGGGAGGTCTGGGCTCGTTCTGCTGCGCCTTCGGGGGACTTCCTGCCATGACGCGGCCCCATTCGCATCGAGCTTCAGATCCATTTTGAATCCGCGCGGGGGGTGGCATCTTGGCGGCGCGCACGAGGGGATGGAGGGAAGGGGGGAGGGCTTCTTAGAAGGAGGCTGCTTCTTAGAAGGCGCCGGCCTTACATCAATAGATAAGGCCCGCGCCTTCTAAGAAGCAGGGGTGCTTCTAAGAAGCCTTCCCCCCTCCTCCCACCACCCACTGCGCGTGGCTGAGCATCGAGTCCCAGCAGAACAACTTTGGGTTCCGGAGCTCCAGTCGTCGTACCCTTCCTTCGATCTGGGACGGAGGACCTCTTCGTGGCCGAGGCTCGCCGTGGCCAGAACGCCCCCTCACTCCTTACTTGGCACCCCTCCTGGTGGCACGATGCCTGCACAAGACGGACCCAGGCATCCAGCGCTCCAACGTGTTCGATGAGCGGCCCCCTGGAGCAGTGACAAACGGCATGCAACCTTTCGGAAGTCCTCCCGAACTTCTTGGATCGGCGCTTGGCCACCCCCCTCCGCGCGCCGGGAGCGGCGCCGGGAGGCGCCGCCAAGGGGGGGCGCCAAGGCGCCGATCCAAGAACTCCGCCGGGACCTCCGACGGTTTGTGCTGATGCAGGTTTTGTTGTTCGAGGCCCCTGCCCCCAGGCCCCAAGTCTTTTCTGGACGGTCTCGGAGACAGACGCCGCTCTCCAAGGATTGGCGACGCGCACAAGGGGGTCTGGGGGAGGGGGGAAGGCTTCTGAGAAGGAAGCTGCGTCTTAGAAGGCGCCTGCCAAACATCCGTGGACCAGGCCCGCGCCTTATAAGACGCAGGAGTGTTTCAAAGCCGCCTTTCTCCCTCCCCCGACCCCCTCCTGCGCGTGGCCGAAAGGGAACACAACATGCAGACAGACGGGCCGCCCCTCCGTCGCCGAGGCACCAGCCTCGCTCCCTCTCCGCGGCCCTGTCCTCTGACGCTGCAATGACGTTGGCCCCCATGGCTTCGTCTCCCGCCCTGAAAGCCAGCGTTTCATGTGTGCTCATTCCTCCTGGGGCCCAGCAAGGGGTGCCGCGAGGCTGAAAACTGCCCAAACCTTCGGTCGCGACGTGATCCTTCCACGGCGCGAGGGGATGTTGATTTCAAGTCATATCTCGGGTCTCCAGCGGCCGCTTGGGCCGACTCGGCCTATCCTGAGACGCCCCAGGAGAGGCGCAGTTGCAAGAGAGCATCCCGAGGGTGGAAAGCCTCCAACAAGAACCTGACAAGACATCAGACGAACACGTCCAAGCAGGGGAGGGTTCCTCGACCCTCCCCTTGCTCCCCCTCCTCCTCCTCCTCCTCCTCCTTCCCCGCACGCGGGGTGGGACGGAGGAGGAAGAGGAGGAGGAGGAGGAGGAGGGGTAGGAGGAGGAGGGGGACAAGGAGGAGGAGGAGGAGGAGGAGGAGGGGGGAAGATGAGGACCAACGCAAACCCAAGATTCATCAACGAGGTTGCTATACACCCTCCATCCAGATCCCCGTTATCAACTCTTACAATATATATCTTATTTGAGGGACAAGCCCCGTTGGAAGACAACCGTCTGGCAAGTGTTCAATCGCGCCAATACACTTTCAGCGCCGCGAATAAACTTTACTGTTGCGACCTGCGGATCCAAAGCCGTCCCATAACACAAATTCTGGGTCGCCCATGCCTCGAATCAACGTGATGGTTGCGCCCTGACAGCCACCAATCATACCGAAACGCAACTTCTGGGACGTCAAGCGTAGCAAACTGTTGAAACGATTCAAAGCCGTTGCGGCCAATACGCGCGGTGCCAAGGGGAGAACACAACCGAACAAAAAGAGCCATCCTCCATCCGTGAGAATACTGCATGCGCTGAAGACAAGTGTGCGCGGCACTACGACGACAAACACGTGTTGCAAACGGGCCGCCCTCCATCCCGAGAAACTTCTGCAAACGTTTAAGACCCATACGCGCGGCGCTAAGGCGAGAACCATATTTTGACAACGGCCCGCCGGAGATCAGTGAAACTTCTGCAAACGTTGAAACATGATGTGCCCGACTCCAGGGCGAAAGCCACATCTCGAAAACGACCCACCCTCCATCAGTGAAGCGCTTGCGACCTTGAAGCTCAAGGATCATATATGGTAGGGTGCGACGAGAAAAAGTAGTTGTAATGAGAAGGGGTGGAATCATGGAGTCATGGAATCAGGAAGTGCGAGGTGCACGCCGCGCGCAGGCGGGCCGCAACAGCGGACAACTGGCACCCCCAGCCTCGCCCGCATGAGAGGAAGCGGGCCCGAAAGCGCGCGCGCCGACGAACGGGGGATTGGCAGCGACCTCGTCGCGCAACGACATGCCTCCAACCGTAGGGGGCGTGTTGCGTAGGGGGACGGCCAGTTCACCTCGAGGCAGTTCCCGACTGTCAGCCCCTGCCCAATCAACTGGCATGCGCAAATGGGATTGTTCCCCAAGGTAAGCGGGCACAAGACCACCATGGGACTTACGGGCCACTTGGCCCCGCCTCTCAACGTAACGCGCAATCCCCCGCGCCTGCAACGGGCAGAACGCCACGTGGCTGGTTCCAAATGGGGCACAAGTCGGTTTAACCGAACCCCAGTCGCCGCATGCAGCTTACTGTGACGGTGTGCCCCGAGGAGTGCGTGGCGCTGACACCGTGAGAACAGGTGCCAGGCCCCCCCACCCTCGGGGCATGCAAGTAAGAGGGATGCAGGAGGAGGAGGAGAATGAGGAGGGGGAGGAGGAGGAGGAGGAGGAGGAGGAGGAGGAGGAGGAGGAGGAGGAGGAGGAGGAGAGGAGGAGGAGGAGAGGGGGGGGAGGAGGGGGAGGGAGAGAGAGGGGGAGGAGGAGGAGGAGGAGGAGGAGGAGGAGGGAGGAGGAGGAGGAGGATGAGGAGGAGGAGGAGGAGGAGGAGGAGGAGGAGGAGGAGGGAGGAGGAGGATATCGTTATCGTCGTCGCGGGGGGGGGGGGGGATGACGAGGAGGAGGAATGGGGGGAGGGGAAGGGGGGGGGGGGGGGGGGGGGGGGGAAGACGCGGGAGAGATGCGGACATCGCCATGCGGAAGAGGATGAGGAGGCGGGAGGGAGGCGCCAAGCCGCCCCCCCCCCTCCCCCCCCCCCCGCCCCCCCCCCTGCGGCCGCCAGCATGAGCAGCGCGGCCGCCAGCCCCATGACGGGCGTCGGCACAGGGCTGTGCCAGCTGGGCGCCGCGGCAGCCGCCGCAGCGGGCGCCGCGGCGGGCGCCGCGGGAACACCGTGCGCCTGCCGCTCGGGCGAGGGGGACGGCAGGGCGTCCCTATCAGCCTGGGGGGGGGATGGGGCGGCCGTCGTCGCCGCCCACTTGACCCGCTTTCCTCCTCTTTTTGGCGGCGCGCACAAGGGGGTGGAGGGAAGGGGGGGGGGCTTCTTAGAAGGAGGCTGCTTCTTAGAAGGCGCCGGGCTTACATCTATAGACAAGTCCCGCGCCTTCGAAGAAGCAGGGGTGCTTCTAAGAAGCCCTCCCCCCTCCCCCAACCCCCCTCTGCGCGTGGCGGATCTCCTACCTCCACGGGTACGATCAAAACGTGTCCAGGACGGGCGGCAAGGACGCGAGACCCTGGGAGGCCGAAGCCGACAATCGGTTCGGGCGGCGGGCGACGAGTGAAAATAGCAGCGAACGGGCCGCAGAGGCAAGGACACGAGCGCAGCCTGGATGAAGACGCACGTCCTTACTAAGCGCGTTGACTGTAGAGCCGCTCAGATTGCACTCGAGTGAAGAGATGTTCCGGTGGTCAGCGACAGGCGGACTGCTGGTGTGAATTGTACTGCACATTGTCCCCTCCTCGTTTCTTCCTGCCCTCTTTTGCCCGCGCCCTGCCCCTTGCAATTCGATCCGCTCGTCGGCATGTCAATGCTCAGTTGGTCTAAACCGTGGCGCTCAAGGCGTTCCAGACACGTTGCGAACATGCGGGCAGATGGAGCAAAAAAGAAGACAAACACGAAAAGGACTTATCCGCCGGCCCCCTTGCGGGGCCATCAGGCTGCGAAGATTAGGCTTGCAGCTCCCTGTACCAGTTGCAGCGTCCAGTTTCCACTGTTACAGTCCTGCTTCCTGCTTCCTTACTCTTAACTGTTGCTGAACGCGCGAGGGGGGGAGCCGAAAAACGTCCTGGCTAGCGTCCCCGAATCGCGTTGTCTGAATTCCCGGGGGGTCGTGGGACATATAAATCCGCCGATCCGGCGTGTGAGTTTCAAGGAGTCTCAGCTACAGCCTCGAGGCTGAGCTTCAGCCTCTGGGGGGGTCGCCGGGGTGGCTCTGCCGGGGAAGGGGGGGTGGGGGGGGGGGGGGGGGTGCGAGTTTCCGGCGAACCCCGGGGCCGCTCCGGGGGAGTGGAAGATAGGGGGGGGGGGGGCGCCATGCTCCGCTTTTTCCGGCGCTTTGGAGGAGGGGGGGGGCCCAAGAGACCCCCAAGGGGTTCCAAGAGGGCCCCGAGTCGCCGAAAAATCGCTCCAAGACGCCCGAGATGGCCTCCAGACGGCCCAAGGTGTCTCCAAGACGCCCCAAGAAGCTTCCAAGAGGCCTCCCAAGAGGGCCCCAAGAGGCCAGAATCGTTGATTTTCATTGGTTTTCTCAGGGTTTTTAGCGTTCTTGCCTTTTCGGGCGTCCGACGCTCGAAGACGGCCCAAGAGGCCCCCAAGTCCGTCCCAAGACGGCCCACGATGCTTCCAACACGGCCCAAGAGAGCCCCAAGACGGCCCAAGAGGGCCCCAAGACGGCCCAAGAGGGCCTCTGGACAGCCCAAGAAGGCCCCAAGAGAGCCCCAAGAGGGGCCCAAGAGGGGGACCACGAACCGAAAGAACCGAGCTTTCCGCCCCAAGAGGCCCCCAGGAGGCCCCAAGAGACCCCCAAGGGGCCCCAAGAAGCCCACAAGAGGCCCAAAAGAGGTTCCAAGAGGCCCCAAAACAGCTCCCCAGAGGCCTCCAGACTGCCTCCGGCAGGCCCCCGGTTTCTTCCGCGGCACCGCCCAGGGCGCCACCGGCAGGATGTCCTCCGTCTCATCGTTTTCCTTCAAGTTATCGCCTCTTCCTCATTCTCCTCCTCCTCCTCTGCGACCTCACTCCTATCCCTCAACGATCGCGTCACCGAGTGCCTCTTCTTTGAAACATCCTCGCTCTTCAAACGCACATCCATACACACATGCATACATACCTACATTTAAACACATTTGCATACATAGAAAAACAATCTTCCAGACATACATACTTACATTCACACACATACACACATATTATCATACACACATACAAACATACATACAAACTAAATACATACATACGCGCACAAGCATACATACATACATACGTACCTACACACAGGCACACATGATCAATGCATGCATACATGCATGCACGCGTACATACACACACATATATCGTGAAACTCACCGCGTGCTCGAAACTTGAGAGAGACCGCGGGAAGTCGAGAGAAGCCGCGGAACGAGGCCTCTACTACTACTACCACTACTACCACAACCACTACTACTACTACTACTACCACTACTACTACTACTACTACTACTACTACTGCTACTACTACTACTACTACTACTACTACTACTACTACTACTACTAATACTACTACTAGTACTACAGGAGCGTTTCCCAACTAGTATGTGTGTGTGGGTGATGCTGTGTGCGCATGTCTGCGGCGCAGGTTAAGTGGTGTGACTGTGTGTGTGCGTTTGAGTGTGCGCCCATAATTTCTGCGTCTGGAGAATAACCCCGAGCGACCCGGATCGGCGGCACTGGCCGAAGGCCACTACAATACATGATGTTCGCGTCCCCGAGGCCATAAACCTTAGTATATTGCACCATATTCACGTCCCCGAGACCATAAAATCATAACTTATGCAATATTCGCGTCCCCGAAACCATAACCCCACGTGTATAACACAATATTCGCGTCCCCGGAGCCATAAACCTTTGTAAATTACACAATGTTCGCGCCACCGAAACCATAACCCTCGCCAATTTCGGAATATTCGCGCTCCCGAAACCGTAAACCTTCAAACATTACCGAATATTCGCGTTCCCAGGGCGATACACCTTCATACATGAAACCATACTTGCGTCCCCGAGGCCACAAACCTTTGCAAATTACACAATACTCGCGCCCCCGAGGCCATACACCCGGGTAAATTATACGATGTTTGCGCCCCCGAGGCCATAATCTTCGTAAATTACACCATGTGTGCGTCCCTGAGGCCACAAACCCTTGTAAATTATACCAGATTCGCGTCCACGAAGCCATAACACCAACTTGAATTACCGAATATCGCGCCACTGAAGCCATAAGCCCTTGCAAATTCATATTGGCCCTCGCGTGAAGTCCCGACATTGCTTCACGTCAGCGTCCAGACATCCCAACACAACTCTGGCAAGTCCCAATCTAAGAGAGGGGTGCCCGGCGGCATGGGGGCGAAGCCCTTACGGATACTATTGACAAGCCCAAACGCGACGACAATCTTAGGGATGCGCCATCAGAAACTGAGGGCGTCCTCAAGATCGGAATCGAAACCGGCTCATACCAATCAAAGAAGAAAAAATCTGATCCCAGCTGGCAACCACTTCTGCACCATCCCAAACCTTCTCTCTGCTGACTTCCTCGAACAATGGGCAGACCGAGACGCGACATGTTTGGTAATCTGAGGGCCCGGCCGCCGTCCAACATCTCCCGTGTGGGTCCCCGTCTGGTCTCCCGTATGGTCACCCAATCTAAGCTCTTGCACGGTCTCCCCTATGGCCGTATGGTCTGCCGTATGGTCTCCCATATGGTCACCCCGTATGGTTTTGATGATGGTGCCCTCCTTATGGTTCCCTTCTGGTATCCCTGATGGACTCCCTATAGTCTCCCTCATAGTCTCCTGTACAATGGAGGCCAATCCACCAGAAGCCTTCCACAAGAAACCCAACCCGGAGACCCCAGGATGTTCATCGGTTTTTGGTGTGGGGACGTCACGCTTCCCGCTGCAAAACCACCGAAGCCGAAGAAACCCAGGGCAACCTGGAGGCAAGCAGGGTGTTTCTTGGCATGGACCTCCACTGTCTGTTCTCTCCCTCATGCCCCCCCTTGGTCTCCCCCATGGTCTCGCTTATGGTCTGCCTCATCGCCTCCCTCAGTCTCCGTTACGGTCAACCCGCCTGGTCTCCCTCCTGGTTTATCCAGAGTGCTCTCGCAGATGGCCTTCCTATCAGTATTCCCTAGTCACTAGTGTGCTCTCGGTACAACTACTGGCCTCCAATGTGTGTCGCGCCATCCACAGTGATATCTTTAAACGTATGAGTAAGTGTTCGAGCATGATGCCACAATGTGTACAACATGCTGGCAGAATTTACGCCCACATTCATTCGCCCGCATCGTTCAAGCTTTAGATTGTATCCCTAATCAAACGAACCTCGAATGCCTCGTCCGTCCTGATCGGTGGCCTCGTCTGCTTTTCTCGGTGAGGAGGAGGAAGAGGACGAGGATCATGTCGTCGTGCGGACGGACAAGGGAAGGAGGGGAGGAAGGGAGCAGAAGGAAAGTAAAAGGACGAAGAGCAGGAGAACGTCGTCTTCCGTCGTCGTGAGGAGGAGGATAAGGATAATGAAGAACGAGAAGATAAGAACACTGAGCTGATGAAAACCCATGCAAGTTTAACGCCGCACGTCACAACTAGTGCAACAAAACAAACTTAAAATACACACAAACGCGATGACATGAACGGCCAGAATCTGACCGTCATGAATATGCTACTGCGTGGAGCGAAACGCGCTGCTGCTGTTTGCTGTGCGCTCGACATGCAACCGCGGTGGCGGCACCTCCTGGGGCATTTCTTTGGGGTTGGCATTGCTGCTTCCCCCCCCCGAGCCCCGAGGGGGGCACTTCAATCAAATCAAACAATGGTTACCAGAGATGGGGGATCAACGATACATATATAAGCGTGTTCTTTTGCAACACCAACATCAACAACATACACAAAACACAACAACGACGGCAACAACAACAACACAAAACAGTAACACCTACACCACTAACAATAACAACAACAATCATTGTAAAACTGTTCGCTCTTACTGGCACGCGTGTCTTGCATTATGTAACCCCCAACCCTCGATACCCGCCTACTTCGTCTTCGATTGCACCCCCTTTCGGGGGAATATCTTCCTTGTCGGCCACTGACTCAAGTGTGAGGAACTCTCCAGCGAGAACGCCCTTCCTGAATTCGGGGGCCTGTCTGGCCAAGGGCTCCCGGAATACACGATGGAGAAATATCTAACGGAAACCCTTGTCGCCGTGTCTGGGCCTCCACCAACTTGCCTGGATTACGAGAAAGTATCGAGCGAGAGCGCCACTCTTGAGTTCGGGGGCCTCTCTGGCAAGGACCTTTGCGAATACATCTTCAGGAAGTATAGAACGAAAGCTCTTGTCGTCGTAGATGGCCTCCACCAATTTGACTAAATCATACGAACATCTCGAGCGAAAGCGCCGTTCCTGAGTTCGGGGGCCTTCCTGGCCAGGGGCTTTCGGAGTAAATCGTAGGGAGGATCGAGCAGGCGCCCTCGTCGTCGTGGCTGGGCCTTCAACGACTTGACTGACTTGCGAGGAAGTCTCGAGCGAGAGCGCCGATCCTGAGTTCGGGAACCTCTCTGGCCAGGGTGTCTCGGGGTAAATTGTGAGGAAAGATCGAGCGGAAGCCGTTGTCGTTGCAGCCGGGCCTCCCAAGGCCCAGATTTACACTCAAGCCAACGCTCGCGCGGGAGCCTCGCGTTCAGAGAAATTGTAGCGGGCGTCGAGGCGAGAGCGTGCGAAACCGTCTCCGAAGATCAACAATATTGATTCTCTAGAACTGAGTATCAACAACAACAGCGGCAAAAACGACAACAACAGCAACAACAACCAACTCCAACAACCACGACGACAACAACAACAACAACAACAACAACAACAACAACAACCAACAACAATAACAACAACACCAACAACAACAAAACCAACCACAATAGCAACAACAACCGCAACAACAACACCAACAATAAACACGACAACAACAAAAGCAACAACAGCAACACCAACACTACCAACAATAAATAACGATCATAATAACATGGTCACCAACAAAACAACACCGTAACAACAATCTCCACCGCGGAACACTACTTCAGCCACGCAGGACAGTGAATGACCATTCGGCTCTTTCACTCTGACCCTGTGCCTTCGCAGTCTCTCCATTTTTCTGGTTCTATTTGCACCTCATGCGCCGCTTAGGCGCTTAGATTGCACTCAAACGGTGTTTCCCGTTTCTCTTGCCACCAGAACGCTACAGCCTACTTGCTGAGGTCCGCCCAACGCAAAAAAGGACGAGGCTCGAAGAGGGCTGGGTCAGGGGTGGAGGAGGGAAGGCCGGGCCGTCCACTTGTCGGCAGCACGCAGGAGTGACCCTGGGCAAAAGTGACCTGTGGCGCGCGATTTGAACAAAAAGCGGCGGGGGGGGGGGGGGGGCGAGCGCGCACGTCGCGCCAGAGATCACTCCGGCGAAAGATAACCTAAGGCAACTGTCTGCGCCCTCCGCGCTCCGCGAAGCGCGAGACGAGCGTAGCTTCGCGCCTTCGCGCCGTACCCCCTCCCCCCCGTCGGAACAGGATGGGGGACTCGCGCCTGGCTCTGAGATCGCCCAGGCCGTGACTCGCGACTCACTTCGCCTCTTCGTGGCGGCCCTCGGAAACGCCGTGTACATCGATAAGGTCTAGCTTAGCTTTCGGGTCGTAACCCAAGGATTGCAAAAAAACCTTGGATTGCAAGAAAACCCTAGGATTGCAAAAAAACCTTGGGGTCGTAACCCAAGGATTGCAAAAAAACCTTGGGTTTTTTTTGCAATTCTCTGCCGACCGTTCGCGACGATTCAGGCACGGCCCGAAGGCTCCCGGCGAGGCGCAGGTGCAGGAAAACACCCCGAGGATGGAAGACCTCCGGGTACCAACGAGCACGTCCAAAAACGTCGAACGACGACGAGGGGACGAATTCAAGTAGCCAAATTCTGGCTCCTAAAATAAGAGCTAAGCATAGCATAACCATACATTGTCGAAAATCCGCTCATGCCGCCTTCTTCCTCTTCTGCGACCCCAAGGCGCCTCCGGCAGGACGGTCATCACCGCGAGGGAGGATTCGATGATCCTCAGAAAGTGTGCTAGCGCCAAAGTGTGCTTGCCCACCGACGCCTGTCAACACGACGCAGGCGGTGTTACGATAGCCGCCTCAGGCCGAACGGGGTAGACACACATTGGGCTAACACACGTCCTGAGGATCATCGACGTAGTTGTGGTGACGGTGGTGACTATGACGACGATGACGATGACGAGACTGATGATGTTGATTATGATGGTCCAGCTAAAGATGATAAACAGGCAACCACCAACGACGACGGCGACGGCGGCATGACGGACGGTGACGGCAACAACGACACGACAGGCGATCGACGAGCCCGCCTCCGGCAGGATCTCGACGAGGAAGAGCAGGACGGGTATCACCAGGAGGGAAGAAGTGCACGCCAACCTCGGCGATCGGGGCGCGCTGCTTCTGGCCGCCGCGCGCTGCACATAGCCGGGTGTGCACAGAGACCGACCAGCCACGGCTGGGGGAATGATGTCCCTTACCCCCCCGGGGGGGGGATCCATCGCATGGACGATTCGGCAACCACATGTGAACCCTACCCTTCTGAGTGAGATTCCTGGCGAACCGGCCGTGGGTCAGAACACGAAGAAGGGTGTCTGCAGCCAGGCGTGGAACAGCGGGGGTGTCCAATACCCAAGCGTCGATTGGACCCGCAGGGGTTGGCTTCCCGACGAACGTCGGTAGAAGCGGGGCGACGCTGCAAGCAAAACTTACGCGCTGCTTTGATCATGTTCCCTGCGTCAGCCTGGCTCGTCTTATTGGGTAGTTCGTTGTGGCGCCTCCTGACACCACTTGCCAGCGGCGACTCGCAAGAGTGACCTGCGCAAGTTTTGCGCTGGCGCCTGGTCGGCGCAAAGCGCCCGAAAGTGTGGAAACAAACGGCACAGCTACCACTGCTCCCTGGACCTCTCCTGGGGTGCGCTCGGACCAGGATTTCGAGGCGAGTATAGCAGTGGCGGCGAGGGCTTCTCAGGAGGCCTCAAACGAGGGGAACACGGAAGGACGAGGAGGAGGAGGAGGAGGAGGAGGAGGAGGAGAACGAGGAGGACGAGGAGGAAGAGGGGCATGAGGAGGAGGAGGAGGAGGAGAAAGAGGAGGAGGAGGAGGAGGAGGGGCAGGAGGAGGAGGAGGAGGAGGAGGAGGAGAAAGAAGGGGAAGGGTAGCGGCACGGGTACCTGCCCCTCCTCCCCAGACCTCCGACGTCATGACCCTTTCATTGCGTCGATCCCCAGCGTTCTCGACCCATTCCCCAAGACCAGCTTCTCATCCTGAATCGTTTTTGGACGGTCCCGAGGCCCGGTAAGGCCCCGGGAGGCCGAAAACTGGGCAAAACCTCCCGTCGTGATTTTGCTCATTCCAGTGGGGGCCCGACCACAAGAAACCCAACCCTGAGACCCCAGGACGTCACTTGATTTTTGGTGTGGGAACGTCGCGCTCTCCGCAGCAGAACCATCGAAACCTAAGAAACCCAGGGCACCCTGGAGGCAGGCAGGGTGTTTCTTGGCATGGGCCCCCACTGTTGAGCAGGGACCGACCGCCCCGGCATTTCTATAGGCCTAATTACCACGAAGTGTTCTTACCACGAAGTGTTCTTCGAACCACGACGTGTTCTAACATTCTTTGGTGGGCCTCTAGGCGAGCCAGGACGCTTCGCCACTGCTTGACACTGTACCCGAGGGGGTCTGGGGGGAAAGCTGGCCCCGAGACCTCCCCAGGGGCCCCCGAGGAGCCCCGAAGGGGCCCCGAAGAGGCCACCGCTCCCCCCGGCTGATCGAAAAGGTGGCTGCCCGCAGAGACGCGGGCCGCGCCCGCGGGCGCCCTCCGCCCGGCGCCCGGCGGGCACCGGCCGTGGCAGCCGACGCCGGCCACGGGCGGGCTCGCTGCGTGGCTCCGCGGGCCTGCCCTCCGCGCGGCGGGGAGCTGCGCAAAACCACCGCCTGCTCCTCCTCCTCCTCCTCCTCCTCCGCCTCCTCCTCCTCCTCCTCCTCCTCCTCCTCCCTCCCCCTCCCCTCTCCTCCTCCTCACCTCCCTCGGCCTTCTCCTCATCCTCCTCCTCCTCCTCCTCCCTCCTCCTCCTCCTCCCTCCTCTCCGCCTCCTCTCGCGTCCTCCTCCTTCCCCTCCTCGTCTCCTCCTCCTCCTCCTCCTCCTCCTCCAGCGGCGGGGATCTGTTCAGAACCACCGCCTGGGGTGGTTCCGGCAGGTTCGTGTCGTGACGACCCTGGTGCGGGCAATAGTTATATCCACATCCAATGCGTCTTGGAGATTTGGGCTCTCTTCCCCAGAAACCAGAGGCGCACTGGATATCGATAAAAATCTTGCCCCAGAAGGTTCGATTCTCATCCATATCCAGTGTGCCTCGGCCTTGCGGCACCCCTTCCCAACAAGTGCACGACGCTCTGGATATGGATATAAGTATTGCCCGCACCTGGCGCTGGTTTCTGACACCACGTCGATCGCTCAAGCCTGAACGATCGGCGGCTTGCCGATCGCCCGATCGTTCCATGTAGGCCGATTCTGGGACACTGGCGGAGTTCAACCTTGAACGCCCGCGGCGGGGTCGCCGCCGGTCGACACGACGCGAACCCACCGTAGCAATCAAAGGACGCTTGACCCTTTGGGATGAGTGCTAAGCTAGGAAGGCCCGAGAAATCAGGGGAAGGGGTATTGTCTGCAGATGTGTCAAGCCAACCCGCCCAGATTCGTTGTCCCTGATGCACGTCTTCACCATGTTATTAAGGTTAGAGGTTCTTTAATCCTCCGTGACCGGGGATCGCCATTCGGAGACACGGGAAAGCGGTGGTTACAGATCAAAGAGAGGGGGTCGAACGGTCTTGCACCATACATGGGTGCGTGCCAGAATCGAAGCGGACTTTCGCGGTGTGGCTTCCCGCCCGCGACCCACCCACACTGCTCTGACGAAGATTCCGCGCCTGCGGCGGGCCCTCTGTGCAATGTGTAACAGATCGACCTCACGACTGCCGACGACACCGCCGCCCCCTCACTCTCATACTCGCCTGCGGGGACCCATTACAGCCACCTCCGCCTCGGACCCTCGTCGCCCTCCCTCGAGGTCGGAGGTCGTGTTGGTCCATGCTCAGCATCCTGGGGGCCCCCTGCCGTGCCCCAGGGCCGTCTGAGAGCGACTCGGCCAGCGGGCCCCGAAGGGAGGGATCCGGGCCTCCCGGGAGCCGCACCGCGAACGGAGCGCGACACGCCCGAGGTCGGAGAGCCTCCCGTGGCGGGGCGAGCTTGTGCAGGCTGCCGCCTCACAGCAGATCGGCGGTGCGCACCAGGGGGGCGGAGGGAGGGGGGGGCTTCTCAGAAGGAGGCTGCTTCTCAAAAGGCGCCGGGCGGACGTCAATAGAGGAGGCCCGCGCCTTCTGAGACGCAGGGGTGCTTCGAAGCAGCCCTCCCCCCTCCCCTCACCCCCCCTCTGCGCGTGGCCGACTCCTGTGGCGGGGAGGGCTCGTGGTGCAGACTGCCGCCTCACAGTAAACGTTCGGAGGACCTGGCGGACTTCTCGGGTCGGGGCGTGAAGTGCAGCTACGTACACTTTCCCAGGGCAGGCCAGCACTTTGCATGTTGGTGTGTGATGCTGGTGGCAGGGGGCGGCGCATCATGACAGTGACGCAATCGACCGATCGCTCGGACCGGTCGCAGTTTGCAACAATGCTAGTGAACACGGCCCGATTGTGGGGATAGCGCCATCACCTGTCAAATTCTGCTGTCAGCGTGACGTCTCCGTCGACAGAAGAACCATGATATGTGACTTGTTTTCAAATGCGATTGACCGCTAACGCCGCTTCAAGGTGCTGAGCTTTGCTATTCCGATCGGTCGGAGGAACGATCCCAAGCCAACGTGCGTTGAGTCAAGGTGGCTTTGGACGACTCAAACAAAACGAAGAAAAGTGTGGAGGAGCAGAGGGAGGGGATTAGGGGGGAAGGGGAATGTGAGTAAGAATGCAAAGATGACGAGAAGGGAGGAATTACATGACAGGGATTGTGACACGAGGATACGGAATAAAACTGAAAGAGAGAAAGAGAAGGGATGGAGGATGGACAAGGAAAGGGAGGACTGACGGGGGGAAGGACAGAATGGAGGAGAAACATGGCACGCATTGAGGAGCACGAGGCTCGGGGGAATCACAGAGGACGGCGCAGGAATGCACACTGGATAAGGAAGGGTTGCGAGAACTGGCGAGGGGGGTGGGACGAGGGGCAGGAGTGAAGGAGGGACGGGTGGAGGGATGGACGATCCCAATGAACGGAGTCCGAAAGGCCGCCCCCGGCGCGAGTGACCACCGTGCCACCCCCTGGTACGAGCCGAAGACAACACCAGGCACAGCAGGGGCCATCTCTCACCAATCACGCACACTCTGGGCCCAGTGTTAGGTCGGGCATGTCCCCTTACAGGCGGACTTTGGACGAAACATGAAACATAGCCAAAACATAACCGACACATGCTCAAACATAATCAAAACATCGTCCCCATATCGTCCCCATATCATTTTTCTGATTATTCTTGAATATTTCTCCTGTAGAGGGACGTGCCCGACTTAAGCCCAGCGCCGCGGGGCAACACTGGACCAGGGTCGGACTGCCCTAAGTCGAGGGGGGCGGGAGAGACGGAGAAGGAGCAGCAGCAGCGGCGGCGGCAGCCGGAGAGAGGAGACGCAGTGGAATCGTAGCAACAACGGTCTGCACGACAGAGAGCAGAAGCAACAATGGAAATATTCAGGGTCGTGCGTCGTGCGTGCGTATAGGGAGGGGAAGAGAGCGATGACAGCGATGACCATGATGAAGACTGAACGCGGAAGCGTCGGTGCCGATCTTGGTCACTGTCAATCTCGCGAATCGTCAACAGTGGATCATTCTCGCGAGCATTCTCTGGATCATTCTCGTCAACAGTGGATCATTCTCGCAAGATCCCGTGATATCGTGCGTGGTCAGGGTCATTGGGTTTCTTGCCTCGGATGGCTGCATACAAAGAAGCAAACACCATTGAAGCACGACGAGGCGGTAAGCAAGAGGGAAAAACGGGAACAGAGGAGGAGGAGGAGGAGGAGGAGGAGGAGGAGGAGGAGGAGGAGGACGACAACACGGAATTGACCACCGCTGGATGCCCCTGAAGGCTTCGGAAACTACAACAAGAAGCCCAAGACGTAGAAACACCATCCATCATGAGAAAAGTCTGATCAAAAACAAGAGGAACCCAAACACAAACTGTCGAACAAACGCGTGGATGTCTTGGATCGGCGCTTGTCCCCCCCCCCGACGGCGCGCAGAGATTGCCGGGAGAGTCCAGCGCCGATGCGGGACATCCGCGCGGACCTCCGAACCTGTCCTTGTGAACGCACGAGAAAAATCCTCCCGTTCTTCCTCCTCCTCCTCCTCCTCCTCCTCCTCCTCCTCCATTGCTCCCCTCCTCTTGCTCCTCCTCTGCCTCCTCCTCCTCCTCCTCCTCCTCCTCACCCTCCTTTTCACCTTCGTCGTCTTCAGGGTCGGCGGCACCGGCCGTAAGGCCTTCGCAATCCTCCCGTTTTTCTTCTTGTTTTATAGCATTCTTCGAATCCTTCGGTCAGGACTGGGACAATGTCGGAAAATTGGACACATCGGGGAGACGTGACGGGAGCGCTCTGAGAGCGCTCCGATACGCTCCTGGAACGACGCATCCCTGCCCTGGCCTCGCCCGGCCTTCCCCCTGCCCCTACTCTGTGGTCGGGCCTGTCCCCCTACAGGCGGATCTTGGGCGGAAAAAAAAGTTCAAAACTAATACCCCAAAATGGTCAAACCAACATTCAAAAAATCGTTCCCCGATAACTGTCTCACTATTTTTGAATACTCCTCCTGTAGGGGGACAGGCCCGACTCAACCCTACTCCTCCCGTCGACGCGGGGGCGGGGGGACTGGGAGGGAGAGGATGCCGTGCTCCGAGCGTTCGGCCTGACTGCCGACGATCGCCAACGCGTGCAGGGCCTGGGTCGACAGGCGATCCAGCGAGCCCTTGCAGGGTTCGGATTCCGACTTTGAAGGAGAATCTGGCCTCGGAAGCTTCGAGTAAGTCCACTTAACCGCCTTCAGGGCCAACCCAAGCGAAGCTAAGACACGCCCCCTGGTGCCTCGTCGTCCTCCTCCTCCTCCTCCTCCTCCTCCTCCTCCTCCTCCTCCTCCTCCCCTTCGCCACAGCTCCTGGGCGAGAGGGCCCACCTCGTTGGTGCGGCTGGATCCGCCTCCAACGTCCTGCTCCGAACAAGCCCCAGGAGAGGTTTTCCTGCAGATGTCCTGGACCCGCCTCGAGTGTTCACAACCCGATGCCTGCGGATAGGGGGGAACTGGTGCAGGCAGAGAAACATCGACCTTGAATCGACGATACATCGGCCATAGGTTTTCAATAGCAAGTCCGCACGCTCCTGGGCGGGGTGATCGATCAGGTCCTCATCGGCGATGAATGGGCGGTTGGCGATTGGGGGTCAATGCATCCCCCCTGAGCCTATCCCCCCTGGCGTTTCTGGGCTATAACTCGGCTCTCTGGCGGCCGTTCGGGACGATGAGGGCACCCCCGGAACGCGCTCGGCGAGGCGCAGCCGCTGCAAAGCATCCCGAGGCGGGGAACCGACGAAAACGCATGAACACCTACAAACTCGAACCTGATCATCTGTGAGACAGACAGTCAGGCAGACAGACAGACAGATAGACACACAGACACACAGACACACAGACACACAGACACACAGACAGACAGACAGACAGACAGACAGACAGACAGACAGACAGACAGACAGGCAGACAAACAAACAGACATGCGCATGGGCTCCCTCGTCAGCCGGGCTGAAAGAAACGAGCCTCTCGACACCTGAGACGTGCAACAAAAACCGTGGAGCCAGGTTCGAAGTCTCTCCTGCCCTCCACCTGGCTCTCAGGTGGTGGGCCCCGCATGCATCCAACACCCATACCCAGAAATCGGGTCGCGGGAGGAGGAGGAGGAGGAGGAGGAGGAGGAGGAGGAGAACGAAGCGAGGAGACGAGAAGCGGACTGCGGGCCAGACGTGACCAAGCTCCGAGGCGCCGGCATACAAGGCTCGGGGCCGGTCATGAGCCTCCCGCCGAAGAAGAACCTGTTGCTGCCAGGCCACGCCTGCCAGTAGGGGACCAGCTGCTCCTGCTCGCAGCCCTCCTCGGGGGGAGCGCGCAATGGTGGGGTGCAAGAGCCGATTTGCGGTCACGGGATTTTCCCTGGGGGAGGCAACCTGAGGGGAACACAACTCTAGAAGGCCTTGGGGGCTTCTGAAGTGGTCTCGGCGTCGTTTTTTTGTTTTCTCTTTTTTGTGTTCCCTCCCTTTTTTGTTTATATATATATATATATATATATATACATATGTATATAGATGAATATGTTTTGTTATGTTTGTTTTGAATGGTCTCGGCGCCGTTGGGGGACGTCTCGGGGCCCCCTCGAGCCGTCTTGGGAGGCTGCCGGGCGGCCCTGTTGCGCTCGTGGGCGCTCTCCTGGGGCCCTGCTGGGGCGTTCTGAGGCCCAGAATATTGGGCCGCCTCCGACGGCCCCGAGATGGTCCCCAGGGGCGCCCCAAGACGATCCCACGAGGCACCCAGAAGGCCCCAAGAGGTCCCCAGAGGCCCCCCAGAGGCACCCACGAGACCCCCAAGCGGCCCCAAGAGGCCCTCCCGAGGCACCCGCGACTCTCTGGGGCGTTCGGAGGCCCAAAATATTGGGCCGTCTGAGACTGGAAGAGAAAGGTGTAAGCCTCCAGCTGGGTTCGTCCCACCACCCTCTCTCTTCGAGCCGACCTCCTCAGTCCCCTCGGGCGCTGCCGCCGGTGGAGGTGGCGAAGAAGGGAGGATCGAGGATCGAGTCAGACACACGACGTCGAGGACTGGCTTTTCCTCGGCGAGCCGCAGGGCGGGACCCAGGAGGCTACAGCTCGGCCTGAAACGGAGGCCGCGCTCCGTGAACGACCTCCCTGAAACGAACACGGCGTCCGGCGATGCATCGCCGGACCGCGCGGTGGGCGTGAGGCTCAGCCCAGACCGCGGAGCGCGGGAAGGCAGAGGCCGTCGGACGAGCCTGCACAGGTGGCCACGGGGACTTGTCGAGGATCGAGGGAGGATCGGGAGGAAGGGGGAGAAGCGAAGCGCTCCCTTACAGGGGCCCTGGGGCACACAAATAACTACACACAACTGACAGGATTCCCCATCTTTTCCCACATATATTCTGGGTTATTGGATTCCCCCACACTTCCCATATTTTCCCATATTTGTCAGGGGAATCGACGATTAATTGTGTCTGCGTGTTTTTCGCTCCTGAATCCTTTCGCGGAGCGACCCCAAACGACTACCGACCCGAATTGCCGGAGCCTTACGCCAGACGGACTGGGCTCCAGAGGGGTAACAACGAAGCCAAGACGAGGATACAATCTGGTGAGGATAGATCGAGACTCTCGGATATCCGGCGGATCTGGAAAATGTCTTGGGCGCCGCGGCCTTCTCAGGGCGTTCGGGAACGCTCAACGGATTTATCCTCGCCGCGAACCCCATCCGATCGACCCCGTTCCCAACCTTCGGACAAAAAAATCAAAAACAAAAGGGTTGGATCGACCCGCCTAGCCAGAGTCCCCGTCCCAGAACTGAACATCCGACCTTGTGTGCTGTTTCCATGACGATGCTCCCCGCAAATCTGAACCCCTTCTCGGGGACTGGAGTTTCATCCCGAACCGTTTCTGGACGTTGGGGCCCTGGCACATGGGGATCGGTCAGTGGCGAAAACCTGTATTTTGCTCATGGCGCGAGATCAGAATTCTCGGACCTCCCACGTCGTGATTACATGTTGCTCGTGTCGTGCGCGCCTGGAGATGGCAACCGGTGGGCCTTCTGGCGTGCGTGCCGCCTTCTGCCCGCCCCGGGGCCCGCCGACGCCCCCACGGGAGATCTTCGAGACAACACCATAGTGACTTTTACCCGACCCTGCTCGCGTCGTGGCAAAAATCCGCCGACCCCTTAATCCGAAAGCCCTTATAACGGCGACGAGGCGACGATCGAAAGCAGTGCCCCGGCACTGCTTTGAACGCGTTCAAAGCAGTGCCCCGGCACTGCTTTGAACGTATGATATGATGATATGATGATGATTATGATTGATGATGATGATGATTTTTCCAGCGTACACTGTCCGCAACTGCGGCAATCAACATCATGCTCCACTTGCCCGCAACTGCGGCCATCACCAACGCTGCGCCTCGAAGCTCCACGGAGGGCGCTCGGCAGGTCGCCCGCTCGAGCCCCACTCGACTTCACGCTGAGGAGGCGAGCCCTCAGGGGCATTGTCCGCAACTGCGGCATGATCAGAGGGCCACCACTGCGCGCCATCAGCGCCCCATTCGCTCGAGCTCCAGTCCCACCAGGACCAGCCCTGCCATCTCGTGGCGGGACTGCGCGCCTCCCATGCGCCGCTGCCGCTGGCGTCCCAGGACCCAGCCGCCACTGCGGCACAAGAAGGGGTCGCATCGTCGCCGTTGGCAGCTTGCGGCGGTGGCGTGTTCCCAGCTCGCTCAGCCCCAGCGTCTCTCCCCGCAACTGCGGTTCCCATCTGGGGTCGGACGCCCTTCCCCGCAACTGCGGTGTCCGCGTAGCTGCCCTTCTTGCCGCCCTTCTTGCCGCCCTTCCTGCCGCCCTTCCTGCGTTCCAACCTCGCGGCGAGTCTTTCAGGTGACCTGCGGCACGTATTGTGCGTGAAAGCCACCAGAGGGAAGTGCGCTCCGTGCCTCGCCCTGCCGAAGGCGCCATGCCATATCTTGTCGTCGAGGTTGCCCTGCTTCACTCTGAAGGGATGGCGCACCCAATCGTCGCGTTCCCTGCGCGCCATCCTTTGCTCGAACTCCGCAACTGCGGTCAAGGATTCGCCAGATGGCGTCAGGAAGGCGCGCATCTTGTTTTCAACGGGCTCAGCCTTGGGCACGTAAGTCTGAAGCATCTTCCCAGGGCCATTCGTGTAGTCGAAGACAGGGAAAGACGGATCATGCTGGGTCGTCAAGAATCCGCCCTCACGGTCGTGCAGAACACTCAGGCCATGGTGAAGCTTGTACTGCCCAGGACAGTTTATGAACAAAATCGCCATGCTGTCTGCCCTGGGCTGGCCGCCTGCTGTCTTCCAGGGGGTCCACGCGGCGACGTCCACAGTCAGGCCGCAATTGCGGCACCAGGACACAAGCTGGAACATGCACATGTTGAAGTCCCCCATGCAGACCTTCACGTCCCATTCCCTGACGTAGGCGACGAACCAGTTGTAGAACTCATGGAGCTTCGTGACGCCCCAGTCTTGGTTGGCCAAGCTGTGGTGGACGTGCACCGCCATGACGTTGAAGGAGCCCCCCAAATGGGTCACGGCCTGGTCCAGGTGGACGCGCACCACCATCGCCCTGGAGTACTTGTTGTGCAGCTTTGGCGCAGGAGCCTCCGCAACTGCGGACGGTTTCTTCTTCTTCTTCGTTTTGGACTTCTCCTGCTTGTGGAAGAGTCTCGCAAAGTCTACGTGTTCAATGTGGCCGCCACTGCGGTCCCTCATGCCAACAAGGAGGGTCCCTGATGGCTCGCCGCCCTTAACGCACAGGTAGTTGTATTGAGTCCGACTCCGAAACCTATCGTCCGCAACTGCGGCTGCACTGTCCCTCGCGTCGTGCTCCCCACTGAGTACCGCGCAGGTCTCGTCGTCGCACTCGCAGAGGGCGATGATCTGGGCAGGGTTCGCGCGGAGCTGCGCCCACTCGTCCGCGCGTTGCGTGGGTCTAGCTGCAGTCCCTCCGAAGTTGGCCACGTAGAAGCCGACCCGTCCCGCTTCGAACTCCGTTTTCTCCTCCCATGCGTCGACAAGAGCTCTTTGTTTTTCCGACAGATTGCTTGTCTCGATGATGGGCACCCGTTTCCAGGGTCTCCGCGACGACAACACTCTCGGCATGTAGGAGTCATGTGCTGCCGCAACTGCGGCTCCCGCACCTCCCCGGGACTCAGCCTCGTCAGCGGAGGCAGCCGAGGACGCGACGGTGCTGTCGCCATCTTGCGTCCGCTGGTCGTCGTCATCATCCGCAACTGCGGCTTCCTCGTCTTTGCCTCCCTCCTCCTCCTCAGCGTTGTGGATGAACACCGTTCTGGCGAATCGAGGTCCACGGTCCATACTCCCTGAGGATGCGCTCGGGCGCGCGGGCGGCCACATGCTTGCGTCTTCGCGTGCGCCACCTCGAGCCACGGTGGCTACGGAAATGGATCGTGAATGGGCATGGGGTCGGATGGAGGGAGGAGACAAAGAGGATTCGAGGAGTGGCAGAAGGAGGGCGAGGACTCAAAGGAACCGAAAGAACAACAAATGGACTGGCGGAGAAGCAGAAGGAGGGCGACGATTGCAAGGGACTGTGAAAGGATTATTTTCACAGCAGCAGGAAGACCGCAACTGCGGTTTTGCCTCATCTCCTGCCCGCGCGGGAGCCGCTTGGAAAAACAACTTCCCTCTGGACTTCCTGTGGGTCCGCAACTGCGGCCTGCATCACGCTAGGGCTGGGATTACCAGCGCCATTTGCCCTCCCAGGGTTCTCACTGTTTCCGAATGCACGAACTGCGACAGCGCCGAACGGTTCCCAGACGCCGCGTCGTTCGCGACTTTTTGCAGCCACCCAGCAAACGTGAGCGGCCATTGCTCCTTGTGCTGCTTGCACATCTCCTCGTCCCAATGCGTCTTGAACCATGCCCACTCCCCCCTCTGCTCGTCTGAGAGGACGCCTTTTCCGCGAGCCAGGCGATCCAGAGCTGCCATCCTGTTTTTCTTGATCTTGAACTCCTCGGGATTCCACTGCGCTAGGGCGTGTTTGTTAGCCAAAGCCGTTTCCACCGCAACTGCGGCCTCCTTCTTTGCCCTCAAGGCGGCCTCGGCCTCTCGAATCTGCTTCTTGAGATCGTGCAACGCCTTCGTCCTGTCGTTCGCTTCCAGAGCCAGGCGCCGCTTTTTCGCCACCACTGCGGCTTCGTGGTCTCGCTGGGCAGTCAACGCTCGTAGGACCTCGTTGTCCTCCCGCGCCAGCTCTCTCAACCGCTTCTTTTGTTTGTGTCGTTGCTGTCGGCAATCCTGCGCTAGTTTCTCCATGCCCACTTGGCGCAGCATATCTTCCGCCTCGCGGAGCG